TTCTTTTTGTTGTCTTGAACCAAGGTCAACTGGGCCCAATCAGCACTTTTATTCATGCTACAGAGCCTGTTAGCTTGAAGATAACTTATTTATATCATGCAGTACCCCTGTTTGAAGCATCTGCACGTGTTACGTTTCTACACTCAGTTATTCAGGACTTCCTATAATTTGTCACCTGTTTGCACCTTTTTAGACTACACTGGAGACAGATGACTGTACTGGTATTGTAAAAGGACCAACACTTTACTAAAATTAGTGAAAACCTTCCATATGTAATGGACTTTCACCAAGGATAGAGTATTCATTAACCTAAAGGTTAAACAGAGCTTTGACCTAAACCCTAAGCACCACTTCTGATACAGTAACTTCCACCTCAGTCTAATGTGCAGCCCTATTATTTTTTTCTTTAAATTTGCAATAACAAAGCTTAAGACAAATTCAAAAGCATTCTTGAGTGAGAAAGTGAACCATGCTTTATGTTATGATATGAAGTCGCTCAGTAATTAAATGATGCATCATTCAGGCAATGCTACATAGACTTGAACTGACTTGGTGACTGACTCAGTACTGTTAATTCTGTAAAAGAATGACTCAAGTAAAAGAATATTTCCCCCCAAAAAATCAGAAATGCTGAGTAACTTCTAGAACTGTGGTGGAACTTCTTGGTCTATCCCACATCAGTCAGCACAGAAGCTGAAGTTTGCATGGCTCTGTTTTTCTGTTTCTGATTCACTCTTGATAAACCCTAAAGAGGTGTGACTAATGACAAACACAGTGCATATCCATCAAAATGTTACTTGAGTACATGTAATTGAATACATGTAACTAGTTACTACTCACCTGTGTATTTAATTTAGTTATAGCTGTAATTACAGTGCCTTGCAAAAGTATTTGACCCCCTTAAAAGTCATTAGATTTACCTTACAAACCAAAAATGGCACTTCGCTCTCTTGTGCTGTGTCATGTTAATTAAAATTAATACATTTAAAGTGAAATTGGTTTTATGTATGAAAATATTCTGACAAACATTACTCATTGAAAAATTCCATAAGTATTCAACCCTTGTGCTGTGGAAGCCAAGTTTATGCAGATGAAAGATACTGCCCTGACGAGGACACAGGTGGCTCACAATTAGCCTCTACCTGTAAATTACTTAAAAAGTTTACCTTTTCAAGATAAATGACCCCATTATTTCAAGTACCACTGATCAAACCAGTGAAGCTGAATGAAAACTGTGGAAACATAGACCAGATTATTCTAAGGAAAATAGAAATAAAGTTGTTGACACGCACAGGTTAGGAGAAGCCTACAAAATAATATGCAAGTGTTTGGATATCTCAGTAAGCACTGTTGGATGAATTATGTGGAAATGGGAGCTGCATAAAACCACACAGACACTTCCTAGATAAGCTGCCCCTCAAAACTCAGCATCAGAGCAAGAAGGGGACTTGTTAGGTAAGCCACAGAGAGAACAAAAATCATCCTGAAGGAGCTACAGAGTTCAGTGGCTAAGACCAGAGTGACGATGCGCCAGTTAATGATATCAAGAGCTCTGCATACATCTAGCCTGTATGGGAGGTTGGCTAGAAAGAAGCCATTACTGAAGAAAAATCACATCAAAGCTTGTCCCTAGTTTGTCAGAAAGCATCAGAGTGACACAGCTAAAATGTGAGAGAAGGTTTTGTGGTCAGATGAGGAAAAATGTGAGCTTTACCAACAGTGAAGTATGGGGGTGCAGTTGTCAGTGGTGACTGGGCATCTTGTTAAAACTGAAGGACAAATGTATGGCACAAAATACATATACTGCAAGACAATCTGCTTCAGTCTGCTAAAAAACAAAAGTTTTACAATTGCCAAATCAAAGCCACAACTCAAGTACACAAGTGTCATTTACCCAATGTGAACAACCTGGAGCAAATCTGCCAGGACGAATTGGTAAATATTGGTAAATATCTCTCCCAAAGCTGATAGAAACTTATCCCAGTGGACATAAGGCTGTTATTGCAGCAGAAGGTCGTTCTACCAAGTACTAGTCTGATAGGGTTGAATACTTATACAAGCAGTATTTTTTGGTTTTTATTTACTTATTTAGTTTTAAAGGTGACACATAATGATTGAAAAATTACATTAGAGGTTTGCAAAACTAAATTGTCTTGAACAATCTGTGTAAGTGTCATTTGTAATCCAGACGAAACTGATGACTTTTAAAGGGTTGAATAAATTTGAAAGGCACTGTATGTTAATATATTCAGCATTCAGATCAGCTGTACCACTGACCTTCATTCTCTCATATAGCTGCTGTGTCCTCTAAGAAAACTGGCATGTAATTAATGGAAGTGTTCATCTGTGACATGTAGGTCTATTCCTCATCAGTTTCTTTTCAAGCACTCTATGGTTAAAGGTCACACTTTACACTTGTTACATGCTTGACCAGTTCCCGTGTCCTAGTGTGACCCTTGACACTTCTCCCGCTGATCAGGCGAACAAATTTTGCGGGCCCTGATGAGGATGCTGAATCGAGATGACAGACCCTGGAGGCTTCTCCTTCATCTGCTCAAGTGAGTATGAGAAGAGCTTCAGCCGAAATTTCCAACATAGTATAATCTTAAGGAGAATGACAGCAGTGGTGACAGCTGCTTGAACAGTCCAGTAATAAAAGATGTAGAACTGGAATGTTGGACCATTTGAATGTACTCTCTTAAAAACAGAGTTAAGAATACGTGCAAAAAGATTCTTTGGAGCGATGCTTTAGGAAAAAACACTCTTGGCTCCTTAAAGAAGATTTTAGTTTGATGGTTCTTTAAAAAAAACAAACCCTCAATGGAAAGGTGTCCTAACGGAACCAAAATTGATTCTTCAGTGGCCACCCTCCAAAAAAGCCTTTTTGGCACTTCTATTTTTAAATAGGCCAATGACATATTGTTACTAGGTTATATAAGCAGTGTGTAGCTCACAGAAAAGTTTAACCATTCAACCAAGTCTGAATTAGAGCAGAGTTTACGACCAGACTGATTTTCCAATCTTAACTCTGATGTACCTCTGTTTTGCATTTTTATTTTTTTCCTTGATTCAACAAAACCTGTTTTGAAGCTTTGAACAGGGAATAGGGAATATTTGGGAACATGTGCACTGAATGATGATTGAAAAACACAGCCGTGCACCTGAACTGTAATGCATCAAGCCACCTAACTGTGCTGCTGCCTGTTTTGTGCTGAACAATGAACTGTCAAATCACAGGAGAGTCTGTCCTCGTGTATGCAGGGTTGAAAAGGTCAAATTAGCATTAATTTTGCTTTGTGAACGGTTGAGCGAGGCAGGGGCAGCAGTCAAACTGGGGCCCACGGTGCAGGGAGGTTTACACTGACTGGCCCTTCAATTTTTTTATTGGGCCCCTCCAGCCTCAGACTGCTCATCAGGAGTCAATTAGACCATAAAGACCAGTTGTGCCAAAGATGAACTAGACTACAGTACAGCATATTAAAGACATCCCTCTCGCTTCCCCCTCTGCCCTTTAATCTCTCACATGATTGGTCTTCTTAAACCAGATTTAAGAAGGTTCTCAACCTTTTTGACCCCAAGGCCCACAGTACAGTGTTGATGCGCTGCTAGAAGAAAGTAGGCTCCACTGATGAATTCCCTCATTTCATCATAAAATGCGTCCCACTAGCAGTGAACTGAACAGGGTTTGGTTGGAAGCAGACCGAGACCAGCATTCAGCTGTTTGATGCAGACCCGAATACGAGCGGAATGTTCAAACGCATCAAAACAGAGCAAACTAAAGTTTGACAGGTCTGCACCGTACAACGTAGGAGAAAGCGCCCTGAGGAACCTCTTCATCTCTGGCTTCCTAACTGTCTGCACTGTGTGATGGCGGCTGCGTTGTTTCAAACTGATGATGTTTAATTAGCCTGCGACCGTGACGTTTTATTTATATGTCTTTAATAATGTTCATATTGGCTATATTTTGGAAAGGTTTGATTCTTCGATTTTTAATTATTAGGCCTAAGTTAATGTTTTTTAGGTTTTTATGACTCAATTTGTCATTACCGGCCCACTACGAACTACTGCCTCCCCCTGAGTACAGGTCCATGGACCACTAGAAGGTGCTTCATGGCCCACTGGCGGTCTGCAGCCCACGGGTTGAGAAACCCTGTCTCAAACCACAGACGTGGTATGTGCAGCCTAAGGCTCACTGGGCCCAGTCTTACCATGGCCTCTGATTTGAAACTGGTCAGGTGTTGTTTTTGTCTTTGTGATTTAGACTGACTTGATGTTTACCTCAAGGTATTTCTCAATTGTATGCTTTGCGTAACAACCAATCAGAAAACAACATGCAAATGAGCATGCAAATTTAGACACTGTCCACCCTACACAACGGCAGCGTCGCCGCGGTAGTTAAGACGAGAGCGAGAGAGAGAGAGAGAGAGAGAGAGAGAGCGAGCGAGCGAGCGAGCGCGCGCTCGCGCAGAAGGTGGTGCGACGGTGACATATCTGATCCTCGCCTGTTCTTCCTCCGTGCTGCAGTTTCCTGCAACATTGCCACTTCACAGCGCTCTGCTTCAGAGACCGAAACAGCCAGCGGGTCTCTTGCAGACCGCACCAGCAGGCGCCCTTGGACTGCAGGCTTAAACGGATTGTGGAATAAAGTGCGGAGGGATAACAGCCCTGGCTAGCACGCTCTAATACAAGCTCAGATGCTTCATGTACAGCGACCTTTCTTTGCTGTATTTTCATATGCGTATAAAAGTAGGATAATCCGCTGAATCCAAGGAGAGCAACACCGATCTGGAGTTGAGTCTATGCCCGTCGACTGTAGTTTAAACTGTGGGCAGTAAACAATGCACCTGAATGTATTGTATGCGGAGAAAACACGTTTGGTCTCGGCGCAGTGTGGATCAGCGACAGTGCAGTGATACATTATAATCTGCAATAATGTGAGAGGTCTCCTGTGTCCGGTGTTGCTGTGTAAGCATTAAGTGACGCTGTTAAAGTGCGTGCAGGTCTGGGAGAACAAGTTTGAGTACTTTGTGAGGTTGATGTGGGCGTCTGTGTGAGGCACATAGCTGCACAGTTATTCTAGATGATCTTGTAAGCTGCACATTCTGGTTGGCCCTTCCTTTTCTCACAACTCGTGGCAAGAAAGGACTTTTTAGGCAATGGCTCGACTGCGCAGGAGAGCTTGTGTGGCCCTTTTTCTCTTCACGCTCTTCGTGCTCGCCACTCTGATGGGTTTAAGGACTCTGAAGCCCACTGATGGGTTCTCGGCTCTGGCTCCAGGCGCAGACGTGCTGCCAGTGATCGGGGAGAAAGTTGACCGGCGCTCCGTGTCCAGCGACGTCCAGCCCTCACCTGCCCAGGCACGGAACCCCAAACTAGTAGCCTCGAACTCTAGTCCGGACAAAGGCATGTCCTACGACGTCCATATATTTTACTACATGTGGTACGGGAACCCGCAGATGGACGAGAGATATTTGCACTGGGACCACATTCTGGTGCCACACTGGGACCCCAAAATCGCCGCCAGTTATCCGAGAGGAAGGCACGTGCCCCCGGAGGACATCGCGTCCAGTTTCTATCCTGAACTGGGGCCGTACAGCTCGAGGGACCCCGAGGTGCTGGAGTCACACATGGAACAAATTGGAGCAGCGGGTGCAGGTACAGTTCAAGGTGCAGTTAATACTGTCCCATATGACCATGAAATCTCTTCTGGAGCCCCTTTAGATCCAAATCATCTTAAGCCCTTAACCCCTTAAAATCCCAGGACTTTAGTGGGTACTAGTCACATACTTTCATAATTACAAAACTTACATATTACTTTCGTAGTAGTTAGTGTTGGGTGATAAATTGTCCACCAGTATAACATGAAATTGACATACTGCAATATTGCTTTTTAGTTTTAGCATATTTTAAGAGCAATATATTTGATATTGTTAGCAATATGTTTGGAAATGATGAGCATTATATCCCTGGTATAATTCCCACTGTGACCTTCTTGCCAAGTAGCTTCTTTTTAGATTTTAAATTGAAGGGTTTTATTGTAAAATGTATATAGCTATGTATATGTTATTGGGAACAGGCTTTACACACACACACACACACACACACACACACACACACACACACACACATTGTCTAAACTGCTTAATCTTCCTGGGTTGCAAGGCAGGAAACACCCTGGACAGTCTGCCAGTCCATCACAGGGCAGACACACAGACAAACACATTCACACCTAGGAGCAATTTAGTATCTCCAGTTCGCCTGGCTGCATGTCTTTGGACTGTGGGAGGAAACCCACACAGATACAGACTCCACACAAATAGGACCCTGGTTGCATGGCCATGGAATCGAATCAAGGCCCTTCTTGCTGTGAGGTGGCAGCGCTGCCCACTGCCCAGTATTCTGTAGAAACACTCATTCTATCCAAAATTTACAAATGGATAAATATAATTGTAAAAACTCTCTAAATAAACTCTTTAATTATACTTAGTGCACTTTAGCTGTGGTATCCAGACCCTGGCAGTTAACTTTAATAAATTAATAAACGCAATACACTAAGTATTTCAGTTTGTTTAGAAAAAATGCTTAAATCTATAAACATTAAATGAATAGTAAGTTAGCATCAACTTTATAAATGTTAAATCAAACATTATCTTATACTGTGATAAATTTGGGAAATATCATGATATTAAATTTTATCAATATCACCCAGCTCTAATAGTAGTAATGATTGTAACAGCAGCACAATATACTAGCTGTAGTAGTGATAATCTATAGTAGTTAGATACAGTATAGTAGCAATTCTTAACATTACCAACAAAAACAATATTTTTTCCCTACATGCTTGAACCCCTTATAACTGAATTATAAGATTAGAGTTTATGGGAAGATTCAGCACTGTTTAGGTGGACAGCTCCGAAGGTCTAGTAATACAATACAATACAGAGCACTGTATCTGTGGAACAGTTGGTTTCAAACATAGCCTGATATATATTGAGGATCATGCGGTGTTCTGTCTTTACGCAACCAAATTGCAAATAATCAAAATTATATACAAATATTAAAAAGCACAAATAAGCATGCTTTGTTAAATATAGGTGCCATTTGAAGCAAACAAAATACACCACACTGACAGAGTGATCTCTAGCCACACAGTGAGAACATGAGAACAGCCTGCTTGGCCAGGACTGTGGTCAGGTGCCTTGTCTTTAATTAATGGGGCCTGTGGGTAATGTGTCACTGGCAACACACATCTGATGGATGCCAAAAATTCAATTTAGTTAAAGAAGCTGAGCAAAGTATTATAAGGAAGTTTTGGATGATACCGCAAGATCTTCAACAACCTACTCTTGTCTCATGCCAATGCCGGAGAAACTCCTACACTCCTAAAAATATAGTCTCCAAAAAGAGTTCTTTGGAGTGATGCCATAGAACAAGGCTTTCAGTTGAGTGGTAGTTTTTTTAAAGAACTACACATTGAAAGGCTCTTTAGGGAGTCACAAGTAGTTTTTTCTGTGGCATTGCTCCAAAGAACACTTATAGATGTTAGATCTGATTGCAGTCACAAGAGAATTTCTCAAATGAATTAAAATAAAAGATCTGAGGAGATGTTCAATGTGTACATCAACCTTATAATGTCCAGTGCTGTAAGTGCTCTTTTCTGTGTGAATGAAGGTGTGCTGGTGCTGTCGTGGTATCCTCCGGGCTTGGCTGATGACCATGGAGAGCCCACTGAAGACCTGGTACCATCAATCCTGGACGCAGCTGTCCGGCACGGTTTAAAGGTAAGCATCTGTTATCCTGCATCAGCATGACTTGTTAAGGATCAAGAAAATTCTGCTGAAGACAACTTGGACTCTAATAGTGCACACCGTCAGTGAAACTAAGGGAGGAAATACAGAAGGAAGCACTTGACAAAAACTGTTTATGTTGTGCATCTGAGAGAATTCAAGTGAGCTAACGTTTCCCTTCTGCTACTTTACAAAAGTCCTCATCAAACTTTTACCCTCCATAATCCATGGGTTGGATTACACTGCTTCGTAATCCAACCCATGTAACATCAGAACCCCTCATTAAGGTACGGAGCGGATGGACGAGAGGCCCTAAGAGAGAACAGATGTTATTTGGCCCAGGCACATTCAAATATTCAAACTGGACTCAATAATGTTCACATGTTCACTGAAATCTTCAAATTGAGCATGTATGAACATACAAACGGATGCAGCTGCTGACAGTTCTCTTTCTGTATTTAGTTCTATAGCACTGGAAGGACTGTAAACATGTTACCCGGCAGCTCTTCGGATGTTGTAGTTGAGTGTATGATCATGTTAGCAAAGAAGAGAAACCCCAGGGCAGTTGTTAGTGTGTTTAAACAGCTGTACAGCAGTGCTACAACTATGCAAGTGTGTGCTGATGCTGAGCAGTAGGACTGAGTGGGGCGTGTGTGTGTGTGTGTGTATGACTGTGATAACAGAAAGGCGTGTAAGGGCAACTCTCCCCAGCTGTGGCCCATTAATAATGCACACCGCATTTCAGCATGCCCGGTTGGCTTGTTAAGATGCGTTGCGTCGCAATACCTGCATGCATTCTGCACAAAGGCCTTTCATTGTGAAGCCAACCTTTCTATTTTATGGAAAAGTTATTTGATTCTTACATTAAAAGTTATTTTATGAGCCTTGGCTCTAGTTCAGTGGTGAATGAGAGACTTTAAATGTAGCTGTGCAGTAGACCATGATGAAACTTCGTAGTTAAGCTCAACTCAAGATGTGAAACACATTCACTCTCAAAAACAAAGGTGCTAAAATGGTTCTTGAGATGATGTCATGAAAACTACTTTTGGTTTTCTTTAAACAGATGGCTCTTTAAATAAATACTCCAGCATTTTTAGCCCAACCTCTGCTGTATTTGTAGCATATGGTCACTTACCATGGGTGATAATGTATACGCTTTTGCCTGTACTTAGTAAACGAAGAGGAAAAACCTGTTGACTCATAATACACTGCCCGTGGGCTTCCATTATAAATCAACAGGTTTCCTGTTCTTTTAATAAGTACAAGAAAGGCATCAAAATTATTGCTGATGTAAAGTGACTATTTAGATCACTTACAGATGTGGCAGACAGAGACTAGGCTGAAACATGCTGGATCACCCACAGCCAAAGGTTGTTTTTTCATAGCATCGCTCCAAACAACCCATTTGGCCCATGCAATTTTAATGTACCATAACTGTCACAGAGATGTAGTATTCTTCCCTCCACTGTTTTAAACTGAGGAGTAAGAAATGACACATCTCATTTGCATCTGGAAGAACAGAAAGAGTGCATGTGATTGCTTTGTTGATTCTACTATGCAAAAGTCAGAGATCATCCTTCATTTATTTCATTTCCAAAATGGCCATTAGATACAAGTTATTCATTTTTCAGAAGATATTTCTGAATAACAGTTGTAAAGTCTTTGAGAGAGAGAAGAAAATCAAGCTCTATTATTGCTTTAGATCTGAAGAAAATCCACAGATTTTTCTGTATATCCTTCCACTGTGAGACAATTCAGCACTATGAGTCTGAAAGGATGTGAAGCTGTCAAGAAGCCATTAAAAGAAAATAGACAAAAAAGAAAAAATGCAAATCAAACAAAGAAGCTGCTGATGTTCTCAGAACAATGAACTGACCACCCCAGAGTCCAGAGCTCAACATCACTGAATATATTTGGGATTACTTGGACCACAAGAAGCAGAAAATACAACAAACTCCAAAGACTGAATTTTGGAGGTGTTGGAAAAAGTTCATTGGTTTTCTTTGAAAAAGCATGTCTCCTGAAAAGAAAGGAAGATGCAAAAAAAACGAAATGTGGACACATTCAATACTGAAATATTATTCTGTTTATTTGTTGAAGCTTCTGTGTAATTTTCTTTTAAATATAAGAAGTACATAATACACCATTTTAAAGATTTTTTTCATGATATATGTTGGGAGTTGGCTTTGCACAAGAAATATCAATGCTATATTATGATTAATACCACCTTTATTGGAGAAATAAAAATGTGTTTTCCAATATACATCAGCTCTTATTCTTATTTACAAAATTGTTACAAATGGATATAGAACATTCATAGAAATGAAGTTCATATGTTTTCTCCTTTTTTTTTTTAACAGAAAAATCATTTACTTGTACTTTGTGGCCACAAATCAATGAAGGGTGATCTCTGACTACTGCACAGTACTGTATGACAAAAAAAAGAAAAAGGTTTTGACTTACAGGATGAGAACAAAAGTGCACAGCTCAGCTGCAAATCTAATATTTTTACATTTAATATTTTACATTTATTACATCTACTGTGTTTTGCAAAGTAAGAACGTTTGGAATCATTTTCGAAAGTGACTGTTGTGCAATCAAATATACATAGCATGAGAATGGCCACTGATAAGTGACACCGTGCTTAGATCCATAACTATACCAGTGCAGTGACACTTCTCCTAATAGAGAGATCTCATTTGAAACAGTTCTGAAGTGCTTATGGACGCCAATAAAATGGTTCACAATGTGACCTTGCGCATGCGCATGTGTTGTTGCACCCATGACTTACTTTGCCTCCCTGAACATTTCAGGCCCAGAGGGGTTCGAAGCGTTCCAGCCAGTAACTAGGGCATGTCGCAGAGGGGTTTTGGGGTGGGTGAACGATGCCATAATGCTCAACTCACAATTTGGTTATTTACCGTTCCAAACATGAGTGCCAGAACAGGGCCATGTTATCGGAGGTCAACCTTACAGCTTTGATATATATACTAATTTAAATCAAGTTAGTTTGTCCACTCCCGTTATCTTGTTTGAATAATAGCATTATTCATCATGCTTCAGTAAAACATCAGAATAAAATGGAATGCAATTCACAATTTTCTTCATAGCTCAAGGCATGTATTTTATGAGGACAGCTCTGCAATAGCCTTGCCACATCTAACAAAGCTCTTACCTTTGGGTGACAGTGTGTGTTATCTCGCATGCTGTATTTAAACAGAGCTGTCGTGCTCTGTCTAGTATTCAGCATTATCTTTTCTTACTGGAACATGAGCTGGATCGTTCAGTGGCTTCACTCATCTAAGTGGAAATGATGCCAGCTTTTCCTCTCACACGCTGAACAAAGGCAGCTGCTTCACTAACCTCGGCAAAGGCTGCCCTCAGCAAAAAGATGGATATATCTCAGTGAGCAGAAGTGTACTTAGTTACCTGAGGAAAAAATCTGCACCAACTATTCCTTTCCTGCCTGGAATATATCCTCCAGGGGGACCTTGACTTCAACACTTAGGCTTCAAACGTTGAGGGGAAAAAAGGTCTGGATATGATTATGGTGGGTTTTACATCAAAATCCATTACTATGTACTTATTTGCCACTATCTACATAAATATAAAAGCACCCAAATGCCCCTGACACAATCCACCCCACTCTGGTCCACACTCATTTATTCAAAGTGTCAGACGGAAAATGCCTGTGCTTCCATAAAGTGGCTTGTGCCTTTTCCATCCATTAGTGCCTTTCTACCTCAGTGTCAGCGTGACATGAGGCTGCGTCTCATGAAGAGTGCTGTGCTGCACCAGTTACTGTAAATTAGGGCTCAATATTCCTCCTTCAGCACAGCCCCATAACATCTACTAACTACATTACCCTCAAATGCATTAAAACTAAAATAAATGCCTTGTACTGATAGAATGCAGAAGATACATAATAAACATTCAGATGGTTGCACTCTTCAGTGCACTGAGACATTCTTTAGTTTAGCTTCTGTCCAATATCTTATCTAAAACCTATTATTAATCCTAATATGGCCAATTTAGACAGAATCGTTTTGGCAGACAGAGGACAAACACAGCCAAGATGGGCTTCTGAGAGTAATTGAATTAGGAGGCTGTCAGAGGCAACATGCCTTCACTACACTGATGTTATGCTGATTGTGTTAGTGTGCTGTGAGGTGTTGACATCCATCTCTCTAATGGCTACACTCAACGCTTCACAGAGCCATTTTGCCCCACGTGCCCCCTCCTAGTGTCGACCCTATGAACAAGTCTCTCACATTGATGACATATAATTTAAAGTGTTCTGGTGATCCTATTGCAATGGGTGAGGCACTTTCATCAATGAAAAAAGATCTGATAGGACTATAGTCCAAATCTACATTAAGAGATAAAAACAACACAATTACAGCTGCAAACACAGAGCCAGTTTATCTTAAATGAAAGTCCTTATGAAGGACAGTCGCTGTAAATCCTGTAGGCTACAGCTGAGGATCCCATATATTGAAACCATTTAGCAAAGAAAACAAAATAAAAATCTCTAGGTCTACATAACTGTGTAAATAGAATAATACAGATGAAAGTTTGGCATTTTCCTCATCTCATTCCTCGGGTTAAGGAATGAACTGATGAAATTCTCTTTTTTTCATACAGCATGCAGTATACACAATAAACTCAAGGTAAAAGCCAAACATGGCTAATAGGACACCTGTGAAAGTAGATTGTGTTGCTGTTGCTGCCAAGGGCAAAGAAAGCTTTCAATTGCAGTTGAGGTTTGAAAGAGATAAAGGTCAGCTAGGACACAATCTGCCTCGCTCATCTTTTAGAAGACATCAGAAGCCAGGAAAAATTCTTTAATGTGGCTTTCAGAGCTCTGAGCATCTTGCATAGCTCTGAATATTTTACATTTAGTCAATTTTCTCAGGCTTTGTTATTTTGGTAAGTCAAAGTCTTTTCAGCTCATTTCATCAAAAGGTGACTGAATACACCAAGGACAGGCACAAGAATGCAGTGATCTGAAGGGTAATAAACTTCTTATGTAGCTTGACTGAAAGAAAAAAAGGAAGGAATAGCTATAGGAAGGTACATTAATATGTGCTGCACTGTAAATCACAGGAAGAAGGAAAATAGGGTAAAAGCTTACTGAACTTGACAAGGTTTGCTTTGTACCTTTCTAGGTGGCGTTCCATATCCAGCCCTACAAAGGAAGAACTGATCATAGTGTTCATGAAAACATCAAATACATCATTGACAGGTTGGTCTGAAATTCTAACCTGACAGCCCAACTGACACAGTTACCTTGCTTGTCATAGCCCACTTTATTCCTGATGTAGAAGTGGTACACAAAGAGAGGTCTGATGTCATGCACAGTAAACCGTAGACATCTACCTTTCTACAGTTTGCAGTCTGCAGCTTAGTGAAACCGCAGTCCAGGAAACATCTTTATGCTTTGCTCTTGTGCGAGACCCTGGGATAAGTGAAACCTGTGTCAGATCAGATGCTCTAAAACATTTAGAGAGACATGGGACTTCTCCACTAACGCTTCTTTCCAAGCCGTGGCACAACTGCAGCTCTCATAAATATTCAGCTGCAGATTGTTGGCCTTCTACTTTTTTGCTGTTATGTGGAGAAGAAGGTTGTAAAAAATTAAAAGCTTTCTTTCGTGTGCATTCAGGTATGGCGATCATGGGGCTTTTTACCGCTTCACCACCAGTAATGGAAAAGCACTGCCTCTTTTCTACATCTACGACTCATACCTGACACCTCCAGAGGCCTGGGCAGAGATGCTGACCTCCACGGGCTCGCACAGTGTGCGTGGGACCCCTTACGATGGGGTCTTCATTGCCCTCATCGTTGAAGAGCGGCACAAAAATGACATCCTTGCAGGGGGTTTTGATGGGATGTATACTTACTTCGCGTCCAATGGCTTCTCCTACGGCTCCTCGCATCAAAACTGGAAGGGCATCAAGACCTTTTGTGATGGCAACAATCTGTTGTTTGTGCCTAGCGTGGGGCCCGGTTACATCGACACCAGCATCCGGCCCTGGAACAACCACAACACTCGCAACAGGGTGAACGGTCGATATTATGAAACCGCCCTACAGGCGGCACTGAACGTGCGGCCTGAGATCGTCACCGTAACCTCTTTCAATGAGTGGCATGAGGGCACGCAGATTGAGAGAGCAGTTCCTAAAAAGACTGTCACGCGTTTGTACTTGGACTACCAGCCGCATGAACCTGATCTCTATTTAGAGCTGACTAGAAGATGGGTTGAACAGTTCAGTAGAGAGAAAGAACAATGGCTTATGTAAAGTGTGCATTCATTTGAAGTTCACAGAACTGTGGGGTGTGTGCTTTTGTTTGTGTGAGAGATTAGGTTATTAAATGAGCAGTCTGACTTTAAAGTCAAGGACATTTTAAATGGAACATGTGCTACAACAGATGTCTCAAAAAATTCTATTGAGTGACCAGACCTCCTTCTCCTCATCTTTTGAAATAATCACAGAAGTTACCTAAGATGCATGGACTCACTTCAGTACAGTAAGGGAAAACACAAACAACCCCTATTTACGGTGTCTAGCAGTATAGTGGCCTGGAGATCTTTTCAATGACATAGGTCTTTCTCCAGATCTTACATGATGCTGTACTTAATGTAACTGAAGATATTGACTCCCCTCCATTAAAATAATCGATTTTCTTTCAGAAATTCCAAAGTCCAAAAGTACAACTTTCCTGCAGAATGCATGAATAAATCATTAAACCTAACTAAACCTTATTGGACCTAACAAAATTACATAATTTTTTTAATGGTAATTAAGTAGTACTCAGTATAAATGTATTTGCTGCCTAAGATGCAGCAAACCTCAGTGAGATAAGTATATGTTCACATTTTAGCAAGTTAGACTATACACTTATAGAGTGATGTACAGTAAAGCTGCACTATGTACGATTTATTCTGTTAAAATTGAAATGTTGTATTACTGAGTCAGGAGAAGACAACAAAACACTAAAATATGGTGTCCATATGCTGCTGTGAGTCACCCTGTAAAGCCTGAAATAATCATTTAAAAGAGTTAACATCGCACACAGGCTCAAAAAGAAGATCCAGCTCAATCTTTAGGTCTGAAATTCAAAATCAACACTACACTGATGAAGATATGATGACAATAGTAGATAATACCCTTGCATCCTCAGAAGACACGTCCTTCACCAAGTTGTGACTGAGGTCTCTTTCGATATTCTTTCAACACATTCACAATGATCAGATTCATCAGAACATTCAAAATGCTCTTCTGCACACTGCATGCAGTTACACATTTCCACCACAGAGGTCTCCAAATCCCCATAACTTATATAATGCATAGTTAAAGCTGCACTATAGGCATTTAAATTTACAGCATTTGGCAGACGCTCTTATCCAGAGTGACTTACAGTTTGATAATTTCACAGAGTTAGGCGAAGGTAGTGTCAGGAGACTAGAAGGTAGTGTCAAAAGACTTTTACTGGTATACTTTGCTTGCCTAGGCAGGGAATCGAACCCCAGTCTGCAACATGGAGGGCAGAGGTGTTACTTGCTACACTGTACTAACCACATAATGGACCATGCAATCATGGAAAGACTTGGAGCACTCCAAGCAAAAAGTGCTTTTTTTTCAATAAGTCTGTTTCATACAGACATTTCTTTATCTGAATGGATTTCAGGTCAGGAGTAAAACAGCACACTTAGACGCCTGTAAAGTCAGAGACCTGGAAGAAACCACTGACAGTATGGCTTTCACTTCAAAATGCAATAAAGGCACTTTTAAAGTGTCCCCCCCCCACCAAGCCATTTTCATCAGCAAACACACAACCACCTAAGTGAACCTTTTCATCCAGATAATGAATTAAAGGCATTCTTTCTGAGCTGAACTTAACTCCACCTAAGCGTGCCTGAGGGGAACAATCACCAACTGACAGACATTTGTAAAAATTAGCCCATCTGGGGAAGAGATTCAAGTATTAGACAGTTATTTTCATCAAGCAAATCAAATATCCAAAAAAACACCACATAACCACCACATAATTGGAAAGAAAATAATAGCGCACAATGTAAATTTGAATAAAAGCCACTTTTTATTTTGCATTTATTTACATACATTCATCTATGTGAAAGCGCACTGATATTGCAATACTGGAGAACCATCTTAAATGTCTGCTGTGCGTATTCATATGAAAGAAATCTTTTTGGTCCTCAATGCAACATAGTACATCATTAATTGCACTATCAACATTAAGTCCATTCTCCAAATAAAACAGCTCTCCTGTAGAATACAGTATATCACAATTCAAATAAATACAAATAAAAAAAGAAGAAATGAAAATGATAACGAATATGAAAAATAGAACACTTTCCATTATCAGACAAAGCACCAAACTGTCAGGATTGTTCATTTCCAACGTTAAATGTTCTGTGTCTAATATTTTCTACGTCATATGACTCCCAAGGTTTATTATTTACTGTAAGATGTATAAAAAGACTTTCTCTGATAGTCCCACAGCCAGATGATGATATACCCAGATCCAAAGAAAAATATTCTCTTGGAATAGCACAATCCCATGTCCTGAAATATCCATGGTTACTTTCTAGCTTTTTAGTCCTATCATTTAGAATCCAGCTGGCCTGTGTCAAACTGAATGCTTTAGCTGGAAGGGAGTAGTGAGCTACAAACTCATTAACTAACAGAATCCTCCAATAATCCATATTTGTTCTCGAGTACAGCAACAGTAGCTGAAAAAGCACTGTGAGAAAAAGAGACAAAGAGTTTCTAAACAAGCAAAAACCTACATGCCACATTACATATTATTAATTATTAAAATTAAATCATATTAAGAATTGCTATTTTTTCATATATAGTGTAGCCTGAAAAACTATCAGCTAAATACTTGAAGGTATTTTAAAATGTTTTATTCAATATTTCAAATTTTCAAAGGCACAAAGTTAATAAATGATAAATAATAGACTGTAATGACTTATTCAGAAGTTTTGGTCACCATGTTTCAAATACAAGGCATTATGGATGTTAATTTTAACATGAATGTTAATGTCATTCTCAATGTTTTACAGCTTTCTCAGTTATTTAGAAATCATCTAAAGCTCATTTCATCATTCTAGACACATCTACAATTTCAATTTTTTTCAGCTTCTTCAGATTTTGTCATGTATGTGTAACAAACTTGTTTTATATTATTGAAAACAGTGATTCCAAACCTTTGTGTAGTGATTTCAAGGTTTAAACTGAATTTTGAATTTGTTATTGCTTTACATAAATTTCAGAGTTACTCCAGCGTTCACTGATATCTTTGGGGGATGATACTCACCAGCCAGGTCTAATGATACGATATCTGCCAGGTACAGAGAGGTCTACGACTGTAGAGCCCAGACGACTTTGGTGTCCAATTGGGCCACCATCCACTACAACAGCCAGTCTTGGCCACAAATCCTCAAACTCCTAGGTTTGCAGCACATAATAGAAAAATCAATAAAACATACCATGTGTATTTTCCTAGATACAGGACAAGATTACAAATATCTACAACTTCAGTACTCACATGAACAGCAACAGTGCTGGCTTGTGTACTAACATTAGCGCTAGTTAGAGCAAGTGGCTCACCACACATCTGACACAAGAGTCTCATGAAGGGGTGGTCAGGGATGCGGACTCCTACAAGCTAGAGGTCAGTACGACACACAGACACGTGTAAGTGATACTTCAAAGAAACAGATTACAAGTTGCTTGGCAACTAGTATAATTAAGTCAGATTTTCACCTTAGTGAATGGATTGAGGTCTCTGTTGAGTGTATCAGACCTTTCAAGGACAAGAGTTACTGGACCAGGAAGAAGATCTTCAAGTAGCTCTTTTTTTACAACTACTTTGCAATACCTGTGGACAAAAATGTGTTTATGATGTAGCAACAGCTTCAACATTACATGATGGTATTATGAAATGGCAGAAAACTCACTTATATATATCTTGGATTTCCCCGACACAAATGGCCAAAGGCTTATTGCCATTTCTCCCTTTGATATCATAAACCTTCTTGATAGCTTCTGAATTCTGAGCCAGGCAGGCCAGGCCATATATTGTGTCGGTAGGAACAGCCACAACTTGTCCATCTTTCAAAGCCGTTACTGTTAAGTTTAGGATTTGTCCTCCATCTGTATTTAAGAGAGAGAAAGAGAAAAAACTTTCAGAACAAGGAGAGCTCATATAAGGATGTACATGCACTTCACAGCATGTCAGAGACGCAGGACATATTTATTTACATAAATATGAATAATGTTTATTCACAAAATACAGCAAATAATGATTAAAAAAATAGTACAGCAAAATATTTCACTACACATAAGACAATACTGGCTGGTACTATAATAACACAACTGATGTACCTCGAGACGGTAAACCCAAGCAGACACGATGACGACTTGGGATGAGCGATACCACTAACTTATTCTAATTCTATACCAAGTAATGCCAATAACAGGGTGGAAAAAGTATACTTAAGCGAAGGTATGAGTAGACTGTCCATTTTTTCCAATTTAAACTGAAGCCCCAAACTATAAAAGTAAAAAGTAACTTAATAAACGAATTCAGTTTTCTTTGGTGGCATTTGGTAATAGTGGTGGTGCAGTGGAACTACTTCTTGCACAGAAACATTTACCATAATTGTGAGCCCCATTTTATAATATAAATTTGGTTGGATGTTTAGATAAAAACAACAAATTCAAGTCAACAGAAAGTCAACTAACTGGCAAGAAAAAAAACTCTTGGCCTTTGAGATTTGTAATGAGCACTCTGAAGGTCTAAATGAAATAAGGAGGAAGAAACAATAAGGAGTAAGAGGTCTGTTTTTACGATTAGAAAAGTAACTGAGTAGGACTACATATGTTCAATTTCAATAATACTTGAGTGAACTACAAAACTTCCAAAATAACAGCCAGTATTTCCCACCCCTGAATACTAATATCATCCTAACACAGAAACTGAGGCCTTTACATTTTCTTGAACATGCAAATGGGGGATTCTTTGTATTTCTACAGTGAAAACCAGTAAATGTGCACATCACAAATAATACTAGAAAGCCTTTGTTAGCTACCATTTACTGGCACTTAAACTGACTGTTATAGAGTATTTCTCTAAGAATCTCAAATGGCTCCCTGCTCCCTACATTGTGCACTACCTAGGAGTTAATTAAAATACTGGCTCCTGCCCCCAAACAGTGCATGTGTCTAATAAACATCATCTGGGCTTCAGACATATGTACACAATTACTTATTGGACAAATCGTGCACTATTTGGGTTTAGAAGACAGAATTTCATGATGTACACAGGGCATTATATAAGAAGTACAGAGCCATTTAAGATTCAGCCAGCCTGTGTGTGAATAAAGCATGGAAGGAAATATAGTTCCTATCTCACACTTTTATTTGACAAATTCAGTCAACCAACCAACATTTTCTCTAATCAGTATCTTCCCCTTTTCATCATCAATGACACATTAAGTTTAAGAAAAGCATAGATATCCAGTTAGCTGCTTAAAACTTAGCACTGAGCTTTTTATGTGAGAATCGATTCTCAAAAAGAAACTAAACGGCAGGATCGAAAGTAACGATACTCCAAAATCGTTGATTGATTGATCCGCCGACCGGTACTAATGACAGCTGGAAAACCTGGCTCTGAAACTAAGGCTGAATCTCAATTCGCTCCCTACTCCCTAAATAGTGTACTGCATAGGTAATGAAACTATGGCTTCTACACCGAAATAGTGCACTAAATATTAGATAAGGAGTCTTGCAGCTGAATTTAAATGGCTTTATACTCAACATAAAATGCCATTTTTAGGTGTAGAATCTGTTTTATCTTGGCCTACACAGTACACTACTTAGGGAGCAGGGAGCCATGTGAGATTCAGCGTAAGCCAAATAGGTTACATGACGTTCATCATAAACGGAGGTATAATGTAAATGGGCCTGTAAAGCAGATATTTATGCTTTTTTGTTTCTCTCCCTCGCTGGTCTAACTTATATGGAAGCTAAAGAGCTGAAGGATAGTTTAACTCAACGCACCTTGTCTGTCTGCCGGCTGTGAAAGAGGCCCGTTTGAAGGCTGCGGGATTAAACGCAGCACGGTGGTCTTCATCTCTTTACACACAGCTCTGACTCCCACAGTGCTGTTAGCACAGAAGCGTGAAGAGAAGGTTAACGTACGAACAAACGCGATCAGACTCATAGAACCGCACCGCTCAAGCAATTTACAGCATGGTTCCGCCTAGAAACCAGAACCGTGAAGTTTTGTCTAGCAAGACGAGAAAATTCCAAAATAAAAGTCCTATCTCTACTCAGTAGAGGACGTTAGGAATAAATTACGTCTGTAAAATACGTCTGTTCAAATGTCTTAAAACAGATGTCGATTTATGATTATTAAGTAGTGTAACAATTATTTAATGTAATTAAAGTAAAACATTTAATATCGATTTATGTTCTCGGTGTGCAGAGAAATATTTCACGTGTCGGGTTGTTTATTTCGAAGATGAACGCAATGATAGCGCACAGTATCTGACTTCACACCATCTTATTGATGAAATATATATAAACTGGACGGTAACACAAGCAGTTATGTTGACTCGCAGTTGTTTTATTTAAAGAGAACAGAGGGAGCGCACAAACTTTTATACTGTTTTTACATTTTTACATATTCTTGAGGAACTGAATCTTCCTTTTCACTGTTACAATTTCATTACATTAGGTTGGTGACAGCATCTCTCACTGAATAATGCCAAACAAACCTCAGTTCTTTTACTGACTGATGCTGGATGTATTAAGTGGTTCCACGGCACTGTTGTACATCTACTCGAGCTGTTTTCTGGAAAGTATCATTTCACCAAAGTAAGAACACTTTTACCTGAGTATTGTTTCAGGTTACTCTACACAAATCTGGCGCCAATCAGTGAAATTCAGCCAGCACCATGTGTAGGTTATTAACTCAGTTAACGAAGCCCAGCAACAAGTCGCAGCCAGACTGACTGATGGCATCGCAGGCAGGTCAGAAACACGAGGTGTTATATATATTTTTTTTCTTTTTAACTATGATTTTTTTCTCATTAATAGGCCCTAATATTGATTTGCACATACTGTTCACCAATTGCTACAGATAAACCAAAAGGCACCGATAGCTTCAATGGGCTGACGGAGCCTCCTGAAAATCAGGTGAGTTGTTTATTTATTTATTTATTTTGCATCCACACATCCTGATCACCCAGTTGTATTGGATCAACTCTGCATCTTTTCAGTGCCAACAGGATGTTGAAGCTCTGGGTGCAACCGTGGCTGTGATGGAAGACAAGATTGCCTTATGTGACGTGGTCCTGAATGATCTGATCACAATTCAGAAAATTGTCCAGGTAGGTTAGGCTGCTCTTGTTTAAAGCTGAACTTTGTGCCATCAAACAGGATATAACTGCATATATTGACTCAAGAATGTGTCTTAATTCTTTGCAGGAAAAAGGCTTTCGTGATGCAGCATTTCAAGAACAGAATAAATGAGTAAATTTCTTAATGTTCAGAATATTTAAGCTTTTTAAAAGCTTCACCGTTGTACATGAATAATTAATAAACTGATGCCTTAAAACAACCAAGAAAAATAATGGAGACGAGTCTATCAGATTTCACTGATATTATATTGCTTAATTCAATTCAAAAAGTTATTACTTTGCCATAATACATAATACTTTATACAAAACAAGCATATGAGAATTTTCACATTATACATTCCTTAAAAATACAGATCCTTTATATTTTGTCCTCACACTTTGGGTATCAAAAGCACTCTGTTGGAAGCATTTATGTTTCCCCATCTGATAACCCTTTGCACTTTTGCTCTGATTTGCACAACCCATAGCATGCTACTGCGTTCTGCTTTAGCAAGAACTTCTGAATAAATGTCACACTGAGTTATATTTGTCTGAGAAAGCTGGATTAAAAAAAATGAACCAGTGGATGATTCAGTTGGTTGAGTTGACAACTGAAAGATAAACTCAGCAGTTTATTTTAAATGCAGCCCAGAAGGACCAATTCATACTCATCTGAGACGACTTATACTGATCTCACAAATGTAGTTAAATCACAATTTAGGATAAATGACAAGCTAATTTTGTGATTTATCATTTCATTGCACTCTATTGTGGAAAAGTGATATTATATGTACAAACTAATCTTAAACCAAAAGGTAAACTTAATCCAAATCTTAAAAAGGTAAACTTCAACCAAAAAACTCAAAGTGACAATTCTTACAACAGAATTATGTCAACTTTTAGGAACAGATCTGCCTGTTGGTTGACATGCATTAATAGTGATGTCTGGGGTGCCACACGCCATTTGTGGAAAGACAACTATTAAAAGATTACAATGCCCATCTGCATAATAAAATGCAACACATTAGTCAGTCATTAATCAACAAAACTAAACCATAAAAATAAGAACTAGCTACCGTCTACCTTAAGCCTCCTTCAGAAACCAGATATTCCAGACTGTGCACAGTAGCAAGCCTTTTGTAGTCAATGTTGAATATTCATTGCAATTTGACTCACAATCAGTTGCTTTGAAGTAGTGGTAACTTGCATAACAATGACTAAATACTAAACCAAAGGGTTAATTCACTCAGTATTCACACAGGGAGCTGAAGACTGACTGAGTGTTATGGTCTGATAAAATATGGAAAAAAGGTTTTCTTTTGCATAGATCATTCTATAACAGACATTATGGCCAAAATTAGTGCGCATGTGCCTTGACTAAATCTTACATTTTACTAAGCACCAAGGGAAACAGAATAAGGTATTCAGCATAAACAGAACACATTTTTGTGAACTTGCACAGTTTACAAAAAACAAAGGTTTCTGGGAGAGATGTTGCTGTCTGTAGCAAGCAGCTTGTTTTAAGTAATTTTTTCCCCAAATACCAGATCTTCACTGAAAAGGCAATGGATGTGGCACAAACATGCAAATGTTTAGCTGGTGTCAATAGCTGTGGAATTTGAGTACTACAGAAATCTTAATTAGTGTACCTAGAATGGGCCCAAATGTGTTCAACGTACAGAATGAACTTTAACTTAACGATAACAGACTGCAAATATGAGAATGTGCAGACATATCAAAACTAATATTACGACCAACATAACTTTTTTTTAATGAAAATATAACATTTCTTGGCACTGGCTAGAAAAACAGCCAAAAAAACCCATTCGAATTCCAATTTACTCTTCCTGTATGTCAAGTTATAATAAGAAGCATTTCATCAAATGTTATGATGACCATGGAGTTTTGTGGTGACTCATAAAGGGGAAAAAAACCTTCAATGAAAATGAAGTACTCCACCTCAAAACTGTAAGGCTGTTTTGTCCTGCAGGTGATACTGGGGGGATTACAGTAACTCTTGCATGTCATAGTGCACAACACATGTAGACTAAGGTCGAGAAAAAAAAGAAAAACAAAAACTACTGCATGGCAATTTGCTGACAAGTCGGTTGCAAAGAAAAAGGGCAGTGCAGTGCAGCGGTCATGTCTTCCATTTCAAACCCAAAGTGTGATCGCCCCCCATAGTTCTATACAAAAATACAAATACAATCTAAGGGCTTAAACATTTATAATTTCAAATGTACTACATTATATTTACATTATAATCCACTCCTTAAAACCTCTCCTTACAGCAGTGGTGTATAAACAAGGTGGTGGGGGCTTATGGGTGCAGGCAAGTTAACCAGTTGTTCTATTTTCTAAACCTTGGCTTGGTTGATGCACAAGCAGGTATGATGCAGGAGACCACACTCCTACAGTACTGATGTTCATTTTTATGTCATTTCAGGGACAGCACAGACATGTATACCTCCGCTTTGAATTCCTATATCCCTGAGCAAGCCACAACAGTGAGACTTACATGGGTCTAAAGAAAAAAAAAAGAAAAGAAAAACAAAGGTTCAAATCAACTCAGTAACAACAAAAGCAGGGACAGCCTGGGTAACCCCAACACCAGTAACACGCCTGATGTGCACCCCAAAGGCAAGAAAAATATAATGTTGTATGGTCTGACTCCACTGAAAATAAACAAAGAAAATAACTTGGTCCACCAAGTTTAGGTGAAAAAGACTAGGTTATGGAAAGTATGTACTGCATCGATCTAATGAGAGAAATTAAGTATTTCAATAAATTAATATATAAAAATTAAATACTTAGTTACAGGCAGCCAACCAAACATACCTATCAGTTACACTTCAAAGGCAAGCAATTTGTCACTTCTTTCCGCTGACAGAAACTGCTTCAAGATTACATTAGCGTCACATTTCTTGGGCTACTGTAGTCTTTTCTAATAAATTACGTAAAATAATATACTATTCATAACTTACAGCATGTGCTGGGCTTGAATGACTATTAACCGAAAGGGCTTAATTTTTCCATTCAAAGTGCTGCATATGCCAATTAAGTTTTGATCACACATTCACAGCCTAAAATTTTCACTTCTGTGTGAGTGGCTGACAAATCTCATTAAGCTTGGTTAAGGTCTGTAATATTTTGCCTTGTTCAAAAGCCCTCAGTGCTTTAAGTTCTGTACCTTTTAAAACCTCCTACTCTGCCCCAAACTAAATGGCCTGGTCTACACTGACAAAATGTTTTATTCTTTTGAATATTTAAGATTTACAATATTGCTTTTTTGTAAAAGTTAGTAATGTCTGTTACACAATGTTTTGCATGTTTTACGGTCCACGTTTGTTTAGTCTCATCTCACTTTCCCTGATAAGCTATTGGTCATTTGACTGCCAGGTTATTAGGATTGTTAAGCTGGTCTGAACAGACCATTAACACATCATAAGTGTGCCTGGAAGGACTGTTGTGATACAGTGCAAAAGGTGAAGTAACTCCAAACAAACGACTACCTACAAACCTATTGTTTTCAGTGGGGAAATTTCATTGTCAGAATATGCACAAAGCACGTATTGAAATTAATCAGAATGCATCGTGACTAAAATACTAGCTGAAGGCTCACATGTATTAAGCATCTAGGATTAGCTCCCCATGTTTGATCAAAAGAATATGAAAGAGCCAAGCTGATCCTAGATAGATTCTTACTCTGAGAAGTCGGATCCCCTGGTTTATAGAGCGTGCTCTTATGCATCAGATCAAAACTGCATAAGGTATAAAGAGATGGTAAGGGCCCGTTAAAACTCAAATCAGGGAGAGAAGTGGTGATCCTTAGCTTTCTTTAGGTAGTGGCATCGCTGCTGCCCTCACCAATGGAGAAGTCATCAGCGACCATGAGTAGAGCCTCAATCTTGGCTGTGGTTTCAGGGCTGAGGAGGTCTACCACATCCACATTGGCCAGGCTGTCTGTGGGAGTGCTGGAAGCTATGGCCTCACTGTGGAATGTCTGAGTAGAGGCAGAGGGATTTCCAGGCTGGATCTGTGCCTGGGGAAGAATAGTGTTCACCTTGGAGGAACAGCACTGTGAAGTTTCTGCAGGCGGCGGTGGTGGTGGTGGTGGTGGCGGTGGTGGTGGTGGTGGTGGAGGAGGAGGAGAGGTGTCTGTAGGCTCCTGTTGTGAGGAGGCAGCACTCTGGCTGGAGCTCCTTTCTTTAGTAGAGTCTCTGCAGGCACAATGACACTGGCAAGCCTCCTCCTGTTTAATTATGATGACTGGGAGACTAAGGCCTATCTGCTGCACAGGGTTCCCTAAGGCAGAACAAATAACTCACATGTCACATACAGTGAGGCTTTCAGCTTATCTCAAACATGCACTTTCATCCTCACATACTGAAGACAACAAACTATGCAAATAGTTTTTAGCATAATGCAATAATACTCATGCAAAGATAAAAAATTATCATACCTGAATGTCCACCTACAGGTATGGCTGTTGTAAAGAAGACTTTCTCCACTTTTGGGCCCTAAGTTTTTAAAAAAAAAAAAAAAGTATATAGAACACATAAGCAAAGCAGTTAATTTATCGTGACAATCTTTCAGTTCCCATTTCTATATTCCCTATTCCCTATGCCAGTGCACTGCTCATCTTTTAGACATGTGAAACCTGCCACTGCCAGACATGAAAACTCATGGAAAGTGAAAAAGATGACATTCAGAAACCAATCTTCTCCAGTGGAGTCAGATGAAATTGTTCCCAGGAGAACTTGTTTTTTTATGTGAAAATTCTGATGCTTTCTGGAAAACACTGAGTCTAAATTAAAGGGGTATTTACAGTTGAATTGTTTAGGTCATTGAGTTCAACAACTGTGCAACGTCATGTCTAAACATTTGACTGTATTCTAGATATTTTGACTGACCTGTTAATTTTTTTTTGCTTACCATACTAAAGTCAAAAGGCCAATGTATACAAATTTTGGCAGCCATCTTTATTTTCAGATCCCACATCTATTATAAATGAAAGTCATTCTAAGAACTTTGCTCATTGTTTGTGTTCTACTGGCTCCATAATGGTGTGCTTGGACCTGACAATCACCACTTATCATGTAAACTGAAGAAAGAAACCATATACGCGAAAATGAAATCAACTTCACCTTTCACATTTTGGCAACATTATCTTAGCTCTGACTGGCTCAGAAATGAAAAATGAAATATACTATTGGTGGCTTGGCTGAATAATGAACTGTGAACTTCTGCTGTGCTATGTTTGGGGGAAAGGAGGGATTCTCTCTCAGGATTATCTGCTGAATTACTCCCACTACCTCCCTTCCCATAACCTAATGAAATGTACACGCTTCACATCAATGGCATGTTTATCATTCAAAAGGGCAAAATTTACTGAAAGGTGACAAGTGCATGCAATACATCTTTCTGAACTAGGAGGTACCATGCATTACTGCACAGCTCAGAGTTTTTTAGCAGTGGTAAAGTTCAGTGCTACATATTAAAAAAATAAAGTAGCCCACTTCTTTTCATCAGAGCTTTTTGGGCCTATAGGTTATACATGTTCCAAAAACTCAAATAAGACATAAACTGCAACTCGAGGTATGAAGCTGAAAGAGTGTTTTGTATAATATGTGGGGTCTGACCTGCTGTTCAGGGTTCTGCTGTGCATTGGCAGCACTGCTGAGGATCCACTGCAGGTTCTGGTCAGACATGACAAGGCTGGGCTGCAGGAGACCCTGCGTGGGGGCGATGGTGATGGTGGATGTGGGTGCCAGGCTGGCGTTGCCTGCTAAAGGCACTGTTTGCGTTACACCTGCCGCTGCCGCGGTGGTGATGGCTGTCGCTGAAGGAGGGTTGGGGATGCTGACCACAGATGAGGCGGAGGTCGGCAGGGAGTTAGCCATGGCTGGGGGCAGAACAGGCGCATAGTGTTGGGTAACACCGGGTACAGGGGGAGTGGGCACTTCTGGTGTCTGTAGTGAGGTATGGAGAACTGAGGGGAAAGTGGCTGACTGTGGAGGGGTGTGTGTGGAGTTGCTGGCAGAGCCTGTCTGAGAGGAGGATGAACCAGGCTGAGCGGAGTTCTCTAGGACCGGGGTGCTGAGAGAGTTAGTAGAAGAGGAGGATGAAGGCAGCTGAGAGTATGAAAGCAGAGCAGATGTGTCTGCCACAGCCGGCCGCGGTGGTGTCTCCAAGCCAAAAGCCTCCACTAGGTTATCTGAAGGTGCACAAAAATTAGGTGAGATTGAGTGTTGCCACGCATGACACTTGTGCAAAACATCCTTTGTTCGTGAGAGGTACTTGCCGGAGGGATGCGCGTCATCTTGACTGACACTGTTTTCAGGGCTCTGGAACATTAACTCAAATATCCTCGCAGGAGTGACGTTACTCAGTTCCAAACTCTGTGACTGAACAGTGAAAGGAACTGGTGACAATTATGACATTAAAATAAACACTATCGACCACTATCATAATAAAATAATGCATTACTTTTCGAGCTTTCATAGAACAGAGTCATAATCTTATTATACGGAATGTTAAGGAATTGAAAACAACAAAATGTGCAGTTCTATAACCTTAAATGACCAGAGTTCGAGAATACTCTTTAATTATAATTAATCTTTAATTATACGTATATGTAGTACTGAAAAAAGTCTTAGGCAGCCATAAAAATTGTTTAAAATGATTCATCTTGGAATTACATGTTTGTTTTGGTCAGTAAAAACACAATATAATAGAGCACATATAAATTACCCTATGTGCATTAAAAGTACACAAGATTTTTTTTGTTTTTTTAAAAAGTTATTATCCCCGTTAAAAGAACACAGTTAGAAGGTCACTGGTTTGGCTTTTCGCTGCATTCCAGCCACTGCATTGCTGTTAAATTTCATCACCAGCAAACCTAATTTTATCTAATAAAGGATTGATTAGCTGAACATGAATCTATAATGATACTGTAATGTTTGGAAATGGTTAACACAATGACACATATAAAAAAACACAATGCACTATTTATTATATGTATCTTCACATATTTTCTCAGATGATGTAAGACTAGAGGACATTTATCTAATATTTTGATTTGTTAACCCCTAAAAGGGATATATTTATTTGCAGATATCTTTTTAACCACATTACAAATGGCTTTATACTGTTACCTCTTGCCAACATGACTGATGCTATAACATGCTCTGCTCCCAATAACAATTTTTCACATTCATTTTAAGTCTTTATGTTTTAAACAATGTACCATAAATAACAACGACTCACATTGTTGATATTCTCTCTTAGCTCAGAATCTGTGGAAATGAGGCTCAAATCACTGAGGCACAGTGAGTGATTTGCATCCTGTAATTAACAACAAAAGAGCCTGTTAATCTGTGAAACACTCTAGAACTGCTGTTGACACATTCAATTTAGAAAAAGCAAACACTTCATTATATGCATATATTTATACAAAAAAGAAGCAACCTTGGATTCGATTAATGTATTGTAATATACACAAACACACAGTTGTATGCAAAAGTTTGATTACCCTGGTCAAATTACAAGTTTTGTTGATTTTCTAAGTGAAAAGGTAGAGGATTTGTACATATTTAAAAAACATAATAATAAAATCAACAAAACGTCGTTTGACCAGGGGCGCCATAACGTTTGCATACCGTCACTTTACAAATTACTCTTAAACTGTACTTTCACTATGTGCAAGAGAGGCTGACAATTATTTTGATAGTCCATATCTGATGGGTTCTTATTCACCATATGCAAGTTCTTCCTTCCAAAATTGTTACAAAATGTGTCAAGTGTGGTGCAATGGAATATGTAGTTTTTGTTGCCATTTTGTACAAACACTGTAGTTGAGCCACAGTGGGCTTCTGTTTCTGTTTGTCTGAAACGATAGGGTCAGCAGACTTCAGATTGAGACAAACTAAAAATGCTAACTGAAGACTTTTAATTATATAGGTCTTCTCTAAAAGACAGGAAAGAGAACAGAAAAGCCACTTACCTCTGAGAGAGGATGGCTGAGGTTAACTGTGTGTGGTGGGCCTTTATCATGACCCCGAATGTGACTCTTCAGACTGTACTGTGAACTGAATGTCTTCTCACAGCCGTCACTAGGGCAGAAAAAAGGCTTCTCTCCTGGTCAGAAATAAGGGACAAAGAGAATATAAGGCATTAAACTTTCATTATAAAACATGCATTATTTGGATGAACATTCATGCAACAAAAAAAGACTTTGTTTACTGCGTTAGCATGTGTTACAGGGAACCAGTGAACATTTCAACCTATTTTTTTCAAAATTTAAGCTCCACATAACACATTAAACATTACTTAATTTTGGGACTGTAACAAGCTTCCAGGCCACAAAGTGATGGTGAAGAGATAATAAACTGATTATTTGCTGAGTGGCTCCAACTTCTTTCGGTGCAAGAGCATATGATGTCTTACCAGTGTGTGTCCGCACATGTGTTTTCAGATGGTGACTAGCAGCGAAGGCCTTACCACAGCCATCATGATCACACCTGAATAAAGGATGAAAATTTAAGATTCTTGGAGCACAGCTGACTAGTTGTATACATAACTATCTATGCATCTACGATTACTGACATGCACACTTCTTGAAAGCAACTCTGCTCTAAAATAGCTCAACAAGCTTCCTGAAAATACCCACACTCTGCAAAACCTCACAAATGCTGAAGAAAACTGAGTACATATTTCTTAAAATAAACATCAAACTGGTACACAAAGAAAAGAGAGTAAAAAGGCAAAAGAGAGTAAAAAGGCAAAAGACAATAAAGATTGTATAAAGTGAGAAAGTACAGGAAAATAGAGAGAAAAGGAGAATCAGAATCAGCTAGTACAATGCAGTTTGCATAAGCAGTCAAGGAAAGAAACACATGTGCATATGTTTACTTACAACATGTAAGTGACTAAGAATAGACTACACTGAAGGAACTAAGAAAATCTATATGATTAAAAACAGCAGAGAAGTGAAGAGTCAATCTCTTGAAAGAGCCTCCTTGGATCGCCAGTCTGTAAATCCAAAGCAATAAAGGAACTCACCGAAACGGCTTCTCCCCGGTGTGAGTACGAATGTGCTTCCTCAGATCACTGAGTGTGGTAAAGTACTTTGTGCATCCTTCTGATTCACAGTTAAATGTCTTCCCCGTGTGAAGTCGCTGATGTGCTTTCAGCCTGAGACGAGAATTAAAAAGACAGAAAGGTTAAGAAAAAAAAAAGTTATTAAAAAATGTAAATATCAAAAAGAAATGCTAACATTGTTGACAAAAGTAAGTATTCATTGATCACATGCTCCCAAATGGCTAAGATGAAGATAACGTCCAAAATAATGAATTCTGTACTATGTCCGACATAAAATATGATAATAAAATTATAAAAATCCATTTACAGACGTGAGGCAATAGATTTTTTTAAATTATGTAATGTTCTTGAGAACCCTTAGCTAAGTCAATTTTACAACATTAAAATGTTATTCTAATAAACCAGGGCCCTTTTTTATGTGCAGCATTCCAATATGACACATCTCCATGAAGTAGTATGAGGATGATCCAGCTAATGAGCTCGTAGTTCTGTTATGCACTGTATTGCATTAACACGTCTACCACATTAACACATGCATTAAAAAGTCAAATTTCTCAGCTTTTTATGCATAAAGAATCCAGCTATACAACACACTGCAAAGTTTCTAGCATTTTCAGTGAACATCTATAATATATATGTGTTTCTTGGTCTATGCGCTATAAGGCATGAACATTATCTACAACACATACATTTGTAGTTCTGTTACTTTGTTTATTTTGTGCAGATAAACCAGTTAAAAGTTTCTGAAGCCACAGCTTTGCACTGTTGGCTATCCCTTGAAGGGAGAGGACAGAGCACACAGGATTGGGCTGGGGCAACAGCAATGAGATTAATGGAGAATAGCGTGCTGCAGTGTGGAGTCCAAAAGAGTCGATGGTGGCACCGCTCCCACCAGCCCTGGCTGTGGCCTTCGGCTCCTGTGTCATATGAGGAGCCTCTCTGACAGTATGAGGTCACCAGAACGAGAGTCATCTCTTCTGTCCTGTCTAATTGGAGTATGTACAGCCTTGACAAACAGCTGTTGCACAGCAAATTATCTAACTAGGGAACAGTGCAAGGACACTTGAACTAATGCTCAATGGATAATAAGCACATAATGGTGCCTGCATAAACTGGAACGGTAGAATGCATTGATTATTTTGAAAGACTCTAAACAAAGCAAACTGGATAAAATGTGAGCTTAACAACAGCTTATTTCATTCCAAAATCAACTAATATAATGGGTTGAGCATAGGTGATCAAAAAAGAACAGTAACAAATAAAGGAGCTTTTCATGTATGCTATAAAGGAGTAAAGGCACACCCCACCTTTGTCAAAAATCATGGTAACTTTGACGAAAGAAAAAAAAAAACCTTAAATAGTAAAACTATTCTTTGGTTAGTGGCAAAGCAACCTCTCTGAGAATCTTCAAATAAAGTAGACCTTCTCCAACAGCAGCTGCTGTGAAGCGAGCCTCACCTGTAGAGCGTATTGAAGGCCTTTTCACAGCCCTGCACGTCACATTCGAAGGGCTTCTCTTTAGTGTGGACACGAACATGGATCTTTAGGCTGTAGGAAGTGAGGAAGGCTTTGCCACAGCCCTGCTGGTTGCACACAAAGGTGTATTCCCCACGGTGCGTTTTCTGATGTGTCCGCAGGTTTCCTGCCGTGCTGTAGGTGCGCGTGCAGCCTTCAAACATGCACTGGTACCTCTTTACCTGTATGACACACAGATACCATTAAGGAAATTTTTCATGTTTTCTTCTGCTCAATGAGAACTGGATGAAACCAGAAGTAGCAGCCCATCCTAATGCGCATGCTATATTTTCAGAAGTGCGCCACATTTTAAAGTGAACTAAAATAATCACAATACATACATGAACATAAACATAATCTTAGTAGAGTGTCATGCAGGTCCTGAAAGACCAAATTACTTGTGTAGCTTGCTTGTGTAGCCATGGCTGGGAATTAAAAAAATCCCATGTCTTTGCAAAAATTTAAATACCTAAGTACTCAGTCTTAGCAACTGTGAGCCAATGAACATGCTTTTTCCAAAATCTAGACTGCTGATTCACTGTTGTACATTACATGTTGTGTGTAATGTCATAAGGCTGAAACAATTATCCAACATTTTTGATATTTTGATATCCAAAAAAAGTGTCTACAAATATATCCATCCCATTTATCATTTACATTTTTAAAGCGACGTCCAACCTAGAGTTGAGTAACCTGAGGAGGGCAGCAATTCGGTTACAGTGCCGTAGCTATGTGAGCAGAGAAAGAAAGAAAAAAAAAATGGGATTTCGTTGAAAGTTCGTTGAAAGTTCATTGAAAGAAGTAACGTCTGGAAGCAGTTTTTTAAATGAAGGATAAAAAAAAGTCACATACAACATGTGCAACTCTGACTTTCCAGCTTTCCATGGAAGCATGTTTCCTTTGACCACCAGCAAAGAAAACATGCTGGTGTTGATTCTGAGGTAGTACAACAGTAACAGTAGCTTTCACTTCATGCCAGTTTTATGACAACCCAAACTACTTCCTGAGGACATGCAGTTTGCACTGTAAGTGATTTGTGAGATTAAGATAACACTACTCTTACAAAAATCTTTGAAACCCATCAGTATTACACTACTAACAGTCACTGAAGTATTTTTAGCTGATGAATTTCTGTTAAGAATTTAGCTATTTCAAAAAGTTATTAAACATTCAGCAGCTTTTTCTGTCACAGTGTTACATATTGGTTAATTAGCATGAAATTGAACGTTTATCTGTTTTTTTACTTTAATCTTTTATTTTTAAATGACCAAAATGTGGTCCTGGAAACCTATACACAGACAGCTCACCTAATCAACTGACTCAATTTACGCACATGAATAATCAAATATCAAAATATTTGTTTTTTCAAACCTTTAATGTCAGAACTTCTTGATAAGTTTGTGATCTGTCTGGTCAATAAGTACACCCACTTTCAGTGCTTTATACTATTTTCTGGTTTAAGTCACATTGGTAATGGTACTGGGCTTCAGTGAGAAAATTATGTGAAACCAAACAAAACACTGAAAGCTTTTACAACTGCTTGTGCCTTTACTGTAAGGTAGTCAGTACAAGGGAACAGAATGCACACAGGATCTCTGCCAAGTAGGTGGCAAATGGCCTCACTTTTGCACTGCCCCACTCATTGCCCTGCTACACTCAGCATTCAGAAAGCAGACTCTCTCTCTTTGCTTGCCCAATAAAAGCTTTCAGCGTTGCTAGATAAAGTCATCTTCTCTCACATACAAATACACACCAAGCTACACTGCTATTATGTATGCAATAAAGGGACGAAAAAAGAGCTTTGTTCAAAAACTTTCCATAATCCCCTTTTGTATTTGAATGGAGAAAATCCTCTTGTTTGATGGGATAACTGTATATTTGTGTCATACACCAGGCCGTGAGCTCTCTATGAAAAATGGAGAACAAAAGCGCACAGCATGGTGGTTATTTTTAGATTTTCATCTGCCCCCAAACACTGCTCTGATAGAGTCTTTCAAAGCCAGCTGAACTGGCCTATAATGGCTAATCTCCTTCAGTTAAGATAATGAAACATATATTAAAAATATCAACTTATAGCTTAAAGGACAACGTATCATCCTGTTAAGAAAGTTAAAACTACTCCCCACATCTTGTGAAGCTTCTGATTATCCTCATGATTTCCATGCAAATGTCTTTCATCATGACCACAGGCCTTCAGAACCCCACTGTTTACAATGAAGATAAAGCAATCAAAGCTTCAAAGTATAGCTCATTTTGTCAACAATCACTGGCTACTTCAAATAGAGACTTCTCTATACGACACAATTCAAATACCCTCAAGGTAGTGTTCTTAGCTTCTTTTTTCTTGGTAAATTAAATCCTGTAGCTGCGAACACTGACATTCTTCAGAGCTTCAGAAAGCAGCTTTATGTTTTGGCCTGCCTATATCAACCTTCGTTTTGTTTCTAAATGGGGTAGTGAGGTGCAACCTATCTCCTCCCACACAGTGACAGGCCGAGCACAGCTGCGTTGCATTACACAATGCAGCATTTCATTTGCATGTTCCTGTAATGCAAATAAAGATGTGTCCTGGCAACATTCATAGCATTAGATATGCTAAAATCTCAACATAATAGTTAGCTTTCAGAGCCAAACCATACGTTTTAAGGTACGCTCTTCTAACAAAATTCTTACAGTGAGCACCATGTGAGTACCACACTGACCCAACTATTTATTTTATCACCATCATCACCATCATTATTCTTTACCCCTGCCTATGCAAAAATCTTGGCACCCCTTTATTTTCTGAAAACATGCTAACCTTTCAACCTTTCACCCCAGTATATTACAGGCAAACACCAGAATAAGCTTTGATCACATTATTAGAAGAGATGACTTTTGTTCACCACACAGACAAGAGGACTAATCCATGATTAAGCAGAGGAAAAAAAAACATATTTTTAGCATACCACTAAAAACATTAAGCTGGTGCCTTTTCAAAATGATAAGGATTTTGTTATCAAAGGAAGAAGTAGCTAATAAAAGAAAGACCTAGACAGAGCTGCAATTTTGCTTCTTTCGATTTTAGCTGACTCAAAGACAAAAGGTTTAATCGCACCACAAGCTGGGAGAGCAAGAGGAGTAAAGATAAAAATCTATCATATGCAACCACGCGGAAACAGGGGCCCAGAGGGAATGATGTTCTCCCAGCAAACAAATGTTTCTCATTCAAAACTTCCCTTATTAAGATGATATCTGATATATCATTTCATAATAATACAGGAATAAGTATTAAACAAAGTAAAACAGAATACCGAATGATAAATGTTTTCTAAGAGCAGAAGAAATATAGCGCACTTGTCATTAATGTATGCCTGCTTGATTTGTTCAGATTTGTTCTTTATAAACCATAAAATATGGCAGGTGTGGAAGCAGAACATTTTTCCAGATCAACTGACTGATTTTCAAGTACTTATGGCTTACACAATTTTTTTTAATTTACTTTTTTTTTCTTTTATTTATTTATTTTTTTTTTATATTATTTTACTTTATTTTGAAGGGTACCTCTCTTTAGCACTCATGTCCAGTTATCTTTATTTTATTTAATTTCTGAGTCAGGGTACTGCAACTTTAACATCTTCAAACACATAGTTTGCATAATTCTCACAGTCTGCCAAACTGAAGGCCTTACCTCTCTCTGCTTAGTCTCGGGGCATTCTGAGTGCAGAGTGAGGGTGGCTCCTTCAATGTTACGGGGCATGGGGGTGGAACCAGGGTTGATGATGAACTGGATCTGGTCCGGAGAGATGGTGTGATGCACGTAGCCCTGTGACATGCTGTCTGGGTCAGCCATGAAGGCCAGGGACCCGTCCTCATCTCCATCCCCATCAGCCAGAAACGCCATGCCATCATCATCTGGCCCACAGTGGCCATCCTCCTCTCCCTCCTCATCCAGACTGATGGGGTCCTGCTCTATGAGTACTGTGGTGCGGTCATACACCCTTCCTGAGGAGGAAGAGGGTTCAGGTATCAGGTCGCCCTCTTTGTCCGAATCAGCCATTTTGTCCTCGTCGTCCTCCTCTCGGCCAAGCTTGTCGACCTCTTCTTCATCTTCGTCAAAGAACATGGCTGTCTCAGTGAGAGGGCCATTCTCGCCCATGATCCCAATAACGCCACTCAGTCCTATGCGCCTGTCCACGTACTTGTGTTCCCTAAAAGAAAGACATACAGAAGTTCACAGGAGAGTCAGAAGTTAACAAACAAAGAGACCTGTCTTTGGGAACTGTCAGATATTGTTTGCAAGAAATGTATATTCTTGAATGCAGGCTTTCTTGCCAGTACATATTGCCTGTATTGACGTAAAAAGAGGGAAAAAGCTCAGACACTACACAAGATTAACACTACACTTGTTATTGTTACATGAAACTGGGACAATGCAGAGAAAACATTTCGGCCCGTTATTGTTGAGCAGCAACAAACTGTGCCAACAAACCAAAACAAACAGGGTGAAGGTGTTAGCGAAATTGGAAACCAGCTGCGTGGACACACTGGACATCTCAGTATGTTACAGTTGAACTGAACAGTTAAAGAAGCATTCAATATTTCTTCAGTATAAGCATGAACGAATCAACACTTATGAATATCAAGAGCAAACTGAAAGAAGTCTCCTGTATTATGAATACGTCTTATTTATTCAGTCATGTTTTACAGTTCACTCCGCAGATGGAAAACTAACGCTTTATGACAAATTTCATCCAGTAAAAGTGTTGACAGCAAAGTAACGACAACTTTCACAAAGTCTGGACATTTGTGGACAGCTGTGTCAGAGCGCGTCCAGTGGATTCTGGAAGTTTCTCAGCTCGTCCTGACATTGACAACGACGAGACATTTACCACCAACTTACCGATTTAACTAAGAGTCATACATAACTGCCCTCAAATATGGAGGTGCTACAGTCGTCAACTATTCCGAAAAAGTTTAAAGAAGTTGTTTAAACGTTAAAACTTCACAGTAAGTTGTGTGCTTGTCAGAGGACAGTGACACCGCTAGGCAAAAAAGCCGTAACTGTTCATCACGCTGGCAAAGCAAAGTCGGTCTCCAGGCAGCTGGTTAGCTCAGCTAGGTTAGCTCCAGCTAAAGACTGGTAACACCGCTAACTGTGTGAGACGCTGCTGTCTTTCCACAGCGTGCGATATTACAGAATCAAACGGGCAAAAAGTCTAGAAATAAGACGCCGAGCCACCGCTTAAACACGGTGACAAAATATGACAGCCACTCAGTATTTTGTGTTTCATCAAGCAACTGTTAGAAAAACCTTCGACGAGAAATGATAGCTAAATCGACAGCAAGCTAAGCGGACAGGCTAGCAGTCAGGCTCATTCAGAATTAGGGCTGTATTAGCCTGATAGCTAGCTTGTTTTTGACAGTGCAGTAAGAGCTTTGGCTAAATTAATATTATTTCATCATATGTACGATATCAGTGGACATATGACACGTCAAGTTTTCAGAAGGACGAGGCAATCGTCACTAAAATGCCCTGAGATAACAAATAATTAAAGACGAGAATCATTTTAAAATCAGCGCGATAGGTGGTTAGCTAAGCAACTCTAAAATTGTGCTGCTTCAGTTCAGCTAGCCAGCTGAGTGACGGGCTGTAGCAGAGACGGGTGGACACAGTGAACTCAGGGGGCTGCGAGACCAAGAGAACCATTAAAAATACCAGTACATAACACAATATTACACCACCGTGCCCCCGACGTTAAATCGCTAAATGAAGTTACCTGTGTTAAGTAGCCGCCCAGTGCTTGTATAATTCTGCTTACTGGCACTTTCCTCCCTTCCCCTCCCCAGCGCTACCATGATTGAACAACAACGGCCAATTCCAGTTCCTCTTCCTGAAGCGTGCTGGGAAGCGAATAAGTCAATGCGCCGAGCTGCTGGCACATCTTGACAGTATTTTACAAATAAACAAAAATATAATAATAACAATAATAATTTATGTATCTAATAAATTATATATATATATACATACACATATACATACATATACATATATATATATATATATATATATATATATATATATATATATATATATATATATCACACACACACACACATACACACACACAACCACACTGAAAATGACCAGCACTGTTTAAGTGACAAGAACAGCAGGTTTAGTTTCCATGATTATATACTTTATTCTAAAAATGTTTTGTATTTACAAACATTAAAATACAAATACAACTGATCTTTAAATTATACCTATTTTCCTTTACAGTACAGAGACAAGTCAGTGTTTCTGCTGCCTTCCAATAATACGCTGTTTCATCTGCTATTTAAAAAGGCTTCTAATTAAAAATATGGCAGCTGTTCAGCACAAATGTGATGATTAAAAAAAAAACACTCTACATAGACATGAACAAATTATTACTAATTTCTTTAAGCAAATACTGTGCAGTAAAATAAGACATGAAGTTGACAGTGATCTATGTTAGTGGGTTTCTTGGACCAGAAAATGCTGGAAAAACTCTTGTGTTTTCCTCTTCTCCATAATGTCTTGCTTTGTGGGGGACCTTAACAATAAGGCAGCAAATATTGTGGCTGTAAGCAAGAGAGAAGCAGCATTAAGTACAACATTTATTTTTACACAATGACATTTACGAAATATAAAAAGAAAATAAATAAATTGTGTGAATTTCTCCCTAGAACGGGGTTTGCAGACTTCTTAAATCGGCAGAATTACAAGACTTTTCCCAAGATATAAAATTAAATGTCCACAAGAAACAGTGTAATGATGCACATTTTAAGGTTCAACAGTATTCAGTTTCTTTCACTACTGCATTATATTTAATTCAGCACTGTATTGTAATACTGTACTACTACATTTAACTCTTGAAAAAAACACCACATCACAAAGCACACATGACTATTAAATCAGAATGCAGCTTAAATGAAATGACTGCAAATGAAAGTGACTTTTGATCTTGGATTCTGCACCAGGCTTGGACCCCACATAGGTGTGAGGTAGACAACAGATGTGTCATTTTGCAAACATCATTTTTCTCAGTCTTGCTAATACAGAGTCTCATCAAAACACACAGCAGTGACTTGCTTTTACTGTAAGAGATCTGAAGTATGGGGCAAGTCTAAATGTCCTAAGCTGCATATTCATGTTTATCTATCGTACCATTTGTACATGGCTGAAAAGAGACTAGTGTTATTGCAAGATTTATAACAATAATTTGTAGTGCCCCTTCACAAAGCCTTGTCCCCTTGGTTACTGTTGTTACATCTGACAAGCTTTCTAGTCTAGCATGTCAATTATAATGTCGTTATTGACCTTCAGATTAGTATAAAACATGCTTAACCACCTGCAAACGATCAAATACAACCCTTCCAGATGACGGTTAAACAATGCTTTTAAAAAGGGGCATTCCAGCACATTCCAAACCTAACGTCTAACCTTTTGGACCCCACAGCGGCCTTTGCCACCCGCTCTGCATTGTACTGTAAGGGCTGTGAACGGCCATGATTTAATGAAATGATTTCTGACAGAAAACACAATTTCAGCCACTTTTAACATGGATTACATTCTAGATGGACAGTTTATCCAAATATTCCAATTTTTGATTTGTTACAAGTTGTACACGTACAAGGGACAAATTTTCGTCCCTTTACAATGAATCCCCCAATGAAGACGAGACGTACAACATTTAAGTGTTCTGTTTATCAGATATGGAGACAGAGGTGTCTATTAGCATTTCAGCTCAGCTAGATAGCAGTCATGATTTGGAAGTACAAGAGGCAAATGTTTTAAATCTTTGTTTAGCGATGTGTTTTCACCTTACTTTACTAAAAATATAGCCAAGTGTATGCTCCAACATGAGCGAGAAAACTTTGGTAGGCGAAGATAAAAATCATTCAGTATTGAAGACTTTTAAAATTTTAAAACTGAAAGGGACACAGTTTCCAGTAAGTAGTTTAGGAGATATTGAGTTAGTGTACTAAAATATCTGCACTTCATTTATTTTACTGCATTTGTGACTTTCTACATATATAATGCTACATACATATGTAAAGCTAATCCAGGCGGGATTAGTCTAAGTTTACACATTTTATAAAATGTGTGTGTATCAGCACCAACAGATCTAGTCGTATGGAAACGTTTTGGTGGCCCTAGTCAAATTACATATCTGTTGATTTTATTAGTGAATATAAGTCCTTCATCCTTTCTGGACCTGAACACTTCTACAAAATTTACACACACAATATGTTTTGCTGAATTTAACATGTTGGAGGGAGAAAAGCATAAAATGTGGCCTGTGCAAATTTTATATTTTATGTTAAGGAACACAAATTGCCCTAAAATTAGAAGAAAAATAATGTATTTAAGTGTTCCGTGTAGACAATGTGTTAACTTATTTTCACTTAGAACGTCAACAAAACATGTCATTTGACCAGGGATGTTCAAACGTTTGCATATGACTATGTACATGTAATATAAAGGAACTGACCTAGATTCCCATATCGATGCATTACTAATCAAAACTTTCGTTGCTTCTCCTTACAAGCTACAAATTACTGCACAATCATCTTCCTGTCTAATTTGTCCAGCTTTTACTTATGGATATGACACACAGCAACACAACATTTCTTTGTCATGGTACTTATTCTGCCCCCGCTGAGGACACAGGAACAACTAGCAACAATTTGACTAGTGTTTCTACCTGATTAAACAGGGCACGTACTTCTGGACATATTTCTTGAATAATGCTTGCTGCTTCACTGCTGGACTATATATTATCCTTAGATCTAAACACTGCTATTTTTACTTCAGTATATCCAGCAGCGGATGACTGCTATAATAGCAAGCTACTACTAGCATGTTTTCTCTGGACTCAATAGTATTTGCTCCAGAATTTTTATACTGTTGCTATATTATTTTTATACCAAGGATGCTTCCTCAAGTTCTGGGTACATACGCACCACATTATCCACTACTCCTGTTAACAGGACACTTTCCAGATTCCTCATCATATGCAACCCTTTAAATTTCAGTTTCCTGTTCTTTATTTCTAGGTAGTCAAATTTTATATGTTCTTACCTTTCTGTCAAGACAAATCTGCTAGTCAATTTAATCAACTCTCTCAAACTCCCACTGACCTCATGCAATGCTTTTGGTCTGGTTTGTCCCACACTACTTTATTGTGAATAGCCAGGTTGCTGTTCAATCAGTCCAAAGTAACCAATATTTAAAAAAAAATGTTGTTTGTTTTGATTTACAGGGACATTTCATAGACTTTATCCATCAGCTGAACTAGTTAGCTAGCCTGATATCTGTGTTGGTCACTTTTGAGTTAGTCGCAGTTCCTCTATACTGACCAGACAAGTGAGGATGCCCCTCATGCTCAGTGAGGTTCAGGGTCGGAAATAAATTATATGTGCTTATTACTCTTTTGTATAAACGCTGGTTATCTCTTACCATTTAATATCTCTTACTTCTGTCTTAAGTTCAATTTCATTCATACAGGGAAGCTTTGACCAATGATTAGACCAATTATTGACACACTCATCGCTAGGAAATAATGGTGAAGAACTTCAGTAGTGGTTGCAGTCAGTTCGTTTCATTTTCCTGTTCTCTATTTCTAGATATTTCAAATTTTTAATATGCATTTTCAATACTACAATTAGAATACCTCTTACACTTTCAGTATCCATTTCCCTTCAGACTTGAACTGAGAGCGCTGTGTTAATTTTTAGCACTTGGTTTTCTTTTCATATTAAAAAGGTGAGACTCACCGTTAAAATCAACTCAACTTGTAATTGTCATTTTTTACCTGGTTTTGTGATTAAACCATTTTGTTTATAACAGCCTATAACTATAAGGAATCCACAACAGTGTTTCACAGCTTTGTTCTAAAGTTAATTTGTTTTCTGTCATATTCTGTAATGCACCCTATTACTCAATCATTACATTTTTGGCTTTTATGTCCTCTTCATCCGATAAGTCTTTGTTGTTTGAGTAATCTGTGCTTTCCACTGATATTTATGTTGAAATTACGCAATAAAAACAAGGAATAGATTAATCAACATCAGCATGATCAATCTTAAAATTTGGCGTTTTTAAAATGAAGTGACATGGTAACATTTACAAGTTTATCTGTATATTTATAAAACACAGAATAAACTTTTGAATGGTGTAAGACAGACTAATTAGCATATTCCTTTCCATATTAATGGAAGGCAGCTACTCTAATTTGAGGGGAGAAGCCATGAGCCTTGAACGACAACAGCCACCACAGAGAGACTTCAGTAATAAATGCTCAATTAAGTACATTTAGCTGACAGTTCTGGTGTACTCCTTTACCGGGGTCAAGTGCATGTTCCTAAGCTCATTTGGTGTCCCAGTCTGAACAATGCAGTCCACTTCCAGGGCATCATCAAAATGGGCAAATCAATTATTAACAATCAAAAGCTGAAATTACATTAATACTTGTCAGACCATTACCAATATTTTGTTGTAGTACCAAATAAGCATGAGAGTGCTTGAGGATTAAGAGTAAAAGTATATATTTCATATACTGACCACTGAAGAACAGGGTAAAAGGGGGCTAACAAAGTATGCAGAGAAACAGATGGACTACAGTCTGTAATTGTAGAATTACAAAGTGCACCTATATAGTAAGTGGAGCTGATAAAACGGACAATGAGCGTAGAAACAAGGAGGTGGTTATAATGTTATGCCTGATTGGTGTATAAGTACTAAGTCAGTGGTGCAAATGAAACAGAGTAATGTATACCACTTATGATTCATATTAAAACAGCTTATTTACAGAATTTCTATTTTCTAGTCAGATGGCATAACCAAACAGAAAAAAGGAATTCTGATCAAGATAAGATGCTTTCAAGTTCTGCTTTCGTCAAAAAATGTATGTGTCCACAAAATCCAAGTGTCTAATAATATACAAAAAAACTAGAAGTGAAAGTCTCTTCAAGACCTACCTAAAATATTGACGTCCAGGCGGTTGTGTGCAGAGTTCTTCAACAACTCCCGGAGAAATGCCGTTACATAGTTAAAAACATTTTTGTGGCACTGAGGTAGCATAGAAATAATCTGCAGAAGTAAAAAAAAATACTATTAATACTAAAAACACTATTAATATTAGCTTATTAATAAATTATATTAATAGCCTAAACATATAGCTTAGTTCCACATTTACTACACTATTCTGGTGCACATAATCTCATATCAACAACTAAACTGCTGTACAGAATTGATTCCAGAAATATTTGGACACCTATCTGCATTACAGGCTGTAGCTAAAACAACAAAAATATCCACACGAAGAACAGTCCATGACAATTATTACAACTTTAAAAGGCACAAACCATTTTACACTGGCCGCTGTTGAAGCTGCACTCCAGGCACTGCTGGTACAATGAAAAAGGGACCACTGGTTCAGGGAGGGCATCAAGGAAGAGAAGCAGAGCCTCAGCCACTGAGTGGTTACTTCCAGCTAGTAGGCAACTTAGTCAAGGATGTACACAAAACACAGAACACTGCTTTAACACACAATCCATTACAAGCAATAGGACACAAAAGTGTGAAAGGATACGCAGGGTGTCGGGCGTGCCCGTGTCTAAACAATCCCTGATCTCCTCAAATTCACTGCGTAGGCCTGGCTGCTGAAAGAGGTCTTCCTGCAGTAGAGACACAGCATGATTTTAAACAAGACTGCTTTAACTAATAATCTACTGAGTGAGCACGCTAATGTGGTTTACAATTTTGATTTGGACTCATAATTAAGAGTACTGCACTGTGAGCTGTACTAAACATTGCTAGCCTAGTTTTGACACAATCCCTGATAACCTCAATCTCACTGCATAGGCCTGACTGCTGAAAGAGGTCTTTGTACAACAGAAAAACAGCAAGACTTTAAACACCTGCTTTTATCAACAGTGTAATAATTAAAATCTGCAAGATTTTGATTTGGCCTCACAATTAACAGTACTGTACTGTGGGCTATACTAAAATTTGCTAGCTTGGTGTCTAAACAATCCCTGAAACCCTTGAACTCGTTACCTAGACCTGGCTGCTGAAAGATGTCTTCCTGCAATAGAAACACAGCATAATTTTAAACAAAACCTATTTAAGTAAAAGCGTCATGAATGAAAAGCAGATTTCAAGACCTTGACTTGACCTCAAAATTAAAAATACTGTACTGTGAGCTGTACCAAATCATGTTAGCCTAGTAGGTAAAACAAGTGCTTCTGGTGTAGCCAAAATGCCTTTTGATAGCCTGTATTATATAGGCCGGTTAGCATTTGTCCAAAGCTTCCTCAGATTTCTTCTTTAGTTCTAGCATTGCTCTGGTACAAAACATCAATGGGTGGTCAATAATAAGGGTGGTCCAGTTTCAGGGCTTTAGAACTACTGGGAAGTGATATGCGATAGAGAAAACACACACATACACACAAAAACAAAAAAGACAACAATAAAAAAACAACAACAAAAAAACAGGGGTTAACATCCTGACCTGTTTGCTAGCATTGCGGTACAGATGATCCACCATCATCCATAATTCTTTTGGAATGTCTAAAGCCTTCTCAGTATCTGGGCTGCTCGTCTCACTGTTCGACATCAGACTCTAAAGTAAAAGGAGACAAAGAAGTCCAATGTTATATAGACACTTAACTAAGAAAACAACCACACTGATGAACCTTTTTTTTTTTATATACCTAGACAACAAACATATGAGTGCTACGTTCACAGGGGTGTGAGCCAAAAGAACCTATGCTTACTACCACACAATAGCAAACAATACTTCTGGTGCAAATTAGACGGTACCCTACTGTTTTGCAATGCTAATAGACCTTCTACTCTGAGCACAGTATGCCAGAGAACAACATCCCTACTAGCACAACTATGAAGGCCTACTTAGACCAGTACCCAGTAACAAATCTTGTGAATTGTGAACTCTCTTAGCAACACCGTGTTCCTTCAAAGCAGGCGACCATTTGCTTTTTATTTTTTTATTTTTGTAACTGGAAAAAAACTACCCAAATTGAAAGCAAAAGCCTTACACTGAGAAACATGATGCAATTTTGCATGTGGGAGGAGTGGTGGGGGTCTGGTCTATATGACTGGTGAAAAAAAGTTGTTGAACTCACTAGTTTGCCTACGGTCTCTAGGGGCATATCTTGAATGGGCTCCCTCAGCTGGCAGAGGGTGTGAATGGAGGAACCAAAGCAGCTAGGAAGGTAGGAGCCAGAGATCGAGATGAAGAAGTCCTTTCCCCTCTCTAGGTGCAGAATCAAAATGTCCTCAAGCTGCTGTTGGCCCGAGTTCAACTCTGGAGCCGTGGAGCGGTTCACAAACACTTCCAGGTCAATGTCCACACTGTCTCCTACAGACAGAACAGAAGCGCTAAATCCATACTGCGCATCACTCTATATATGCCCAAGTGATTACAACGATGAGTTTGATGACTGTTGTAGCATTAGCACATACAACACATTCCTAAAGCAATATTCAGCCTATCCTCATCTACACAAAGGCAGAAGGAGCTGTCAATAATTTACAAAACCTTACAAGACTGTAAAGGTACAATCTGCTCTGTAAATATTTTAAACTATGATTCAATGAAATGATGACATTAGCTGAATGCATATTTTATGGGAAGCCATGAAGCCCAATACTAAACCTCTCAAATGATTTGCACTTCATACAATCTCTAATGTGTGTCTGAAATTGCACACTGAGGCTATCAGGAGAAGCTGAAATACAAACACAACTGAGCTGTGCAGAGTCACTGAGTTGCTGTGTTTACCTTGGGCAAGAAAACCCCTGGATGGGTTGGCAGTGAGCCAGGGTTTGCAGTAAGCTGGCTCATCCAGCTTCTTGATAAACTCAAACTTACACGGCACCTGACCATCATTGTGAAGGGTCAGAGTTTCGGCTCGATGTTGCATAAACTTCACATCCTTGAAGTGAAACTGAAGAGAAATTTAAGAAAAGCACAAACTGATCAGAATAAATGGCATGAACAGCTAACAAACGATCAGGTAAATACTGGATTCACTGAAGCTGTACTATGTAAGATTTTTTTGTTGCAATTGAAAGAAGTAGCATTACTGAGTCAGGAGGGAAAAAAGCAAGCTTGTGGACTGCTCCAAGTCACCCTGTAAAGCCTTCAAAAGTAATTTAAAAGTCACAAGTGAGGATCAAAAAGAAGGCTCGGCAACCTGAGGTCTCAAATGCAAAATCAACATAACACTGATGAAAACACTATGACAAAAGCAGATAATACACTAGCATTCTCGGAAGACATAACCTCCACAAAGTTTTGACAGTTCTCTTTTGTTACTATTTGTAAATGTACTGTCATTAGCATTACCATTAGCTTGGGAATTCACAGTCAGCATCACTGCATAAAATCAGACTCTCACAATCTAAGTAAAAAAATCAGTTTTAAATCTAAGTACAGCCCAAACAAGTTTCCCCTCATGTTCTCAACAGCACTTATTGCACAGAATAAATGAGAGCATGCTGGCTAGCTTGCTGCCCAGAGTTACAGGAAAATTATTCAGACTACAATAAAAAGCAATAAGGCCAACGTGGCTGTGTTTTAGCATAAGCTTTTGCATAAAGTGGTTTTGAGTGGCATAGAACCCCTGCTCACTCTCCATTTCACTGTCAAGAGTTGACCAAGTAGTTTTTATTTTTAAAAAGACGCTTAAAAAGACTGTCCTTTTTTCTCCTGCACTGTACACTGCTGTTCAAACAGAGCCAGCACAACTTGCTATGAATTTAATAAGTGAATTTTTTATGAACTATTATTATTCAATATAATTACATAATTATGTAACTAATTATATGTAAATAATTGCATATATATAACGTAAAATATATATATTTTGTCCTATTGTGTACGTTTCAGTGAACAGTCTGGTTGGCCCAGCTGCTGTAGCTGCAGTGTCTGTGTGATTGCTCTGTACTTGGTCATCATCAAGTTATTTTGAATAAAACAGCTTTATATTGAGACTGCGTTTCACATAGCATGGGCAGAGTATTTTAGTATGGTGTGAGTACATAAATTGTAGACTTTGTCTGTACATAACAGACCATTCAAACTTACAGTCCGTGTCCCCAAAGAGCATGATTTCTTAAACAGCACAGTGTATGTCTGGCTTTAGAGGACATTTAACTACAGCTCAACCAGCCAAAAGAAATACTTCAGATGTAAACCTCCACAAGTGAGCTCCTTGGCTGCTTTAGCTTCGGATGTGATTCCTGCTGTCACTGTGCTAGAGACTGATGTTGTAAGAGACCGATGAGGAGCATCAAAACTATGAAACGTACTTTACTTAAGCTGTACAGACGTGCTTTCGGATGTGGCTCTCAATTGCAGTGCTAATCCAAGGTAGGTAATGTAACATAGTTAACTAATGCACTTCATATAAAATCAGCTGGATTTTAATGATTTAAATATCAAGGTACACTGCACTCATTTACTCTAACAATTACTTAATTCTAAGTAGGTAGTTCGTTTTGGTACACGGTATCATTGAGTACGTATTCGTACTTGGACTCTGAAAAATGGTATCAATATATCCCTAGTACACACAATGTTTTATTCACCTTTACCCTTACAGTTATAACGGGACCTTTGAAAGGCTATGGTAGAGTAAAGTCCCCACATCTCTGCTGCACTTGATTTACTGAGTAAAGGTTTCCCAGTGGTTAGCTGAGCTATGAAAACTTTACTGTAATGACAGAAAACACCTTGTTTTTCAAGCATGTATAGCATAACATTGTTGGGATTTGTTTTGTTTTTATTTTCTAGTTTTCTGTTTATTTTCCTTTGTTTTAATTGTTATTCATTAAACAGTATTAATGCTGACGGCTTTAGGAAGCCATCTCCATTTCTGTTCTCGTGGTTTGAACAATTACACCAAATGGCCTTATTTGAACACTGCTTCTAAAATCTCTTGTAGTGTAGTAATTTTTTAAAATGAAAATATCGTACCAAGTATTTAAAGGTATCACCCAGGCCTACCAGCATTGCCTGCCTATTCTAATGTTTTTCCATGCTCTAGCATACCTGATTCAACTTATCAGCCATTCAAACATTCCTTTCTTGACTTGGGTGTGTTCGAGCAGGGTTAACACTAAAACGTACATGGCAGGGGTTCTTCAGGACAAGGACTGGAAATTACTCACTTCATTCATTTACTTATGACATGCACACTGTTGGAGACTTAAATGTACACTCACCTCACTCTGCGACAGACACACTGATGGAATGCATTCATTTTCTAGCTTGTCCAAAGATCGCACTATATCTTCCAATGTTCTTTTATAAGACTCCTCATTCACCACTTTGATCTAGAAAGAAGAGTGGGTAATGTTAAGCAACACCATTAAGAGTTCAGAGAAAACACGATGAAGCACCGCTGGCTTTCTCACCCCTATCTCCAGAAGAGAACTGACAGGCTTGTGGTCACTGGTTCGCAGGGTCATGTGACTCCTGTAATGCCGCTGAGTAATGTTCTTTCCTTTCCAAAGGATGCGATCACACCAGGCTGGAACACGACACTTTTCACTGCTCACACATAAACACACAAGCATAAACAAAACATTCATACTAGGCAGCATTCGTCATGAATTTCGATTTTGACAGATGGCTAATTTTTATATATTTTTTTATTTTAATTAAAATTTTTATTAGCCTATGTTCCCCACTTACACAGTTTTCATAAATATTCTGACATTCACCAATATTTTCTTATGTGGGATTTGTTTTGAGGTATGAACAATCTGTGCACACTCAAGAGCAAAAAGGTGCTAACAATTCTGCAGTTTAAGAACACGTCATAAATCAGACCTTTTTCTAAGGACCTTTCTAAAGAACACATTTAAGAAAAAAAGCTTAGGAAGATACTGGTGAATTAGGCCTTTTTTTGCTCTTTATCCAAAGCTCACACTTTGCATGCTAATAGAACACACTAATATAAAACATGGGTGGCTGGTAGGTAGGCCTAAACAAGCACAGGCATGCATGCTCAGCATTCAAATGCACCACACAAGTACTTGAGTGGCTGACATTATTTTGATCATAAAAATGTTATACAGAGGGGCCAAAATAAGAATAACATTGCTGATTCCAACTGCAGGCTAGAAGAAAATATTAGTTGATTCTGATGAATTTTGAATACCAATAACACAGAATACACTGACAATGTTAATAGAAGGCGAATTCTGACCTGGTGTCCCACTGGTCTGAGCCCATGTCATACTTGTATGTTGGTTGGAATTCAATCTCTCCCTCCAAGAAGTCTACAAACACAGCTTCTTCATCCATTTGTCTCTTCAACTAAAAAAACAAAGATTTAGATGAGCACAGTGTAATACGGCACAAAAAACTATAAGCACATCCCTTTTCCAGGATACAAAAATTCTAGTCAACTAAAGCCTCACCTGATCATGATTGTGTAGTGTTTCAAAATCTTTTTTCAATATAAGGTCCTTCACATGATCAACCTCTAAGTCACTTATTCTATAATTTAAATCACCAAGCCACAGGACAATGCTGCAGACAGAATGGTAAAGTCAGTAACAGCTAAAAATATTCATACAATCAAACCAAGTGCAAAGCAAGTGAAACCGAATATGTGCTTGCTTATTTACTGCTTCAGGCTGAAACATATTTGTGGGAAAAACATTACCTATGCTTCATGATGGTAAGAGGTGAAAGTGTTGGGTCTAGCTGCCTGAAGACCATCCTGCTACAGATGTCTCTGTAGTCCTGGTTCCGTCTCTCATACTCCTCTACATGAGCTGCCAGATGTGCGTTCACCACACAGATGTCCGAATTGTGGAATCGGAAGCGAACTGCTACAGCACCTTTATTACCCTGGTTAACAAGATTAACGGGGTCAAATGAAACATTCTTCATAAGTAAAACAATAAAAGGTTAACTTTTGAATACTCCATTCTTTCCTAGTTGATGTAAACTACACTACACTACACAGTGTAGTGCCACAGCCCTCCAGGACTGAAACTGAATGTCATCTAAATAATAAAAGTAAATGGAAAAAACAACCAAGAAATCAGGGACATTCTGACTAGTAATCAGGATGGATACATTAGGTGGTACCTCCTTCAACAACAGCAATGAAGTAATGCCAAGCTCTATAAGCTCAATATATGTCAGATGCTTTTCGTACTGGAGTAAGCATACATACTGTTGAGAGCAAATGGCATGCCCACATGATCTCACCATTCTTCCCATGATGCCTGTGCCTACAGTTTCTGCCTCCATCTCAGAGATGTGCTCAGCGTGCTCCTTCTTCACATAAAAAAGTAGCATAATCCCCACCAGCCGTACCAGCTTCACCTACCACACACAGCAAAAGGCTTAACAGCTGCTCTCTCACACAGCCCCTGACACCAACCACAACGCAGTGCAGGAGTTAAATAAAAATAACAGATGAAGAATGCAACACATTACATATAGACTTTACTCTGAATTTAAAAAAGGTGCCACAACCATGTCTTGTTGAGCCCTACACATGACTTTCAATGCTGGAGGCATTCGAAAATAACACAAGGCATTTCAAAGCAGGCTGTGTGATGACGTTTAAAATTCATTGACTAACTGAGGTAGAAAATGTTACTGAAGTGAACTTGCTAATTTGCGATATCAACAAAACCTTACAACAACATGCCATTTAAAGGAAGGTTGGAAAAAAAAAACAACTGGTGCTTTGTGACAAGTGCACCATCATAAATTATGGCTAAACACAATGAATCTATATTAACTGTATCTGCTGTTGCAAAAATCACATTTTCTATTATGAAAAAAAAGTAAAGCTCAATTTGCATCCAGAGCATCTGTGTTAACATAAAATGTCAAAGTCACAGCAAGACGAGAGGAAGCCCTTACTAAGGCATACTTGGCATCAGAGTGGAGGCCCTCAGACACAGCCTTCATCCATTCCTGCTCCTTTGGTGTGTCATTAAAGAAAAACGCCTCTTTACTCAGGTCCAGCTCCTGGAATCTAATGAGAAAACCCAACATTGTAAATATTTACTCTTATGAAAGAAGCCCTTATCTTTGTTATAAGGCATGTATGCCAGGTTCTTATCTTTCTCAGAAGGATTTCTTGTTTTGTCTCTGTTGAGACTTTCAACATAACGCAGTGAAAGGTGCAGAAGAACTAAATACAGCAGCTTTTGCAAGCCCTACCCTATGCAGTAGAGATCAGGGGGCTGAGGTGTGCAGCCCAGCCATGAACGAAGACTCTCCTTTGGTGTCTGCCCATTTACATTGTATGTGCCCAGGAAAAAGCTGAGAAAATGGCAAAAATTAAAGCTCTAAGTACATACATAAGCAGAACAACACAGACATTCCCATATTCCAGGAATTACACCTGTATGTGACTGGTTCAACACACATGATAAAACACTATAAAAGTCTGACTGACTAGCAAAATCACCAGACCTTAATTCCAATTCTCAATTTGGAAAAGCAGTCGAAATGCTGATTTACAAACATGAACTCTAGCTGAAATGTGCGTCCCGTTTGTGAAAGAGTGACCTAGAATGAACAGGAACTGCAGTAATCCTTATGTTACAGGACTGAAGCTGTTAGTAAAGGGAATTTCAAGGATTTTTCAAATATTCTGCAAAATTCAATGAAAGAGATGTAAACAAAGTCATTCAGAACAGTTTGATGCAAAATGGTTAAATGTAGGGAAATTTACTGCCTTGGATTTCTTTACAGTCACGATAAGAACCAGAAATTGCATCAACTACACAAATATAGCTGTTATTTATGTCCAAAATGACCAGTGAACCTGAATGTCTTCAGAGATTTTTTTACACAATGTTGATGGTGATAAAACAGTTGTAAATCAGAAAATATGTTTATTTTGCTTTTCAGCACCCTGCACGTACCTCTCTGCTGGGAATGTATTTTAAAAAATGTTTTAGTCCACAACGTTTTGTGACAATTAAACCATTTTAGTGGCACATTTGGTTTCGCTAGAACAAAGCATTTCACATCAAACCACTCTGAATGACTTTGTTTACCTCTTAATGATTTAATTATGCAGAAATTTTGAAAAAGGTGGAACTACTTGCATACATACATATACAAACTCTGTGGTCTGATGAGAGGTGCACAGTCAGCAATACTGATAAAAAAGATTATTTTAATTGCAAAGTGAATTTTTCTTTTCTCTCTTCTTGCATATTTTGCATGTCTGTGTGCAAACCCTAGTTTCACTTGTGAGAAAATCATCCTAAAGGGGGCGGTGTTGCCAACTATTAAGCCCTGGTTGTGTATGGCAGATGAATTACATGAAAAATAGAATAATAAACATAATTACGTTTTTTGACCATACAAAAAGAAACTGTAAGATACTCAGTTGAGGCTCAAATGTTCTTCATGTTTTTTTTTTTCTTTCAGACACTTATTTATAAGCACCTTTTTCAGCTTAGGTCTTCTTTATGCCTCATTCTGCATTTACATTTCAAATCATTCTGTGGAAGTTCGAATTACCACCAAGAACCTAAAGAAAATGTCAACTGTCCACCAAAGCACAAGAATGTCTTACCTGAAGTTCTCAATATATGTGTAGTCATCCTCATTCTTGAGAAGTTCACACTTGATGAGGGTGTCTCGCAGACCAAACTGGGGCATGGTAAGCATCTGGGCTTTGTTAGATACAGTGTGTGTGGACAAGCGAACCAGCTCATTCCTCCCCTCACCTTTCACCCTCTCCTGGCTGCTGCGAATTTTGAAAATATGCTTATATTAACGGCAATTCCAAATGTGAGTTTTATTTCCCAAAAAAAAAAAAAACAAAAAAGGTAAAATAATATCCTACCAGTTTCACTCAGACAGAGGTAACAATCAAAAGTGTACATGTAGAACATTAGCCAGTAATGGACTTGTCAGATCTATGAGTCAATACCAAGTTTCATGGTTATCAATCCAGGGTGTAGGCCAGATAAGGCACTCCTTCCTTCTCCCGACAGAAGACATTGTATGCTCAACTGGATAAATTTTAGGTATATTTTAGGAACACTCAAGAAAATTCAACTTTTAGTGCTGCTTCTGCAGCTAAACAAATCAACAATCACACAATTAGTAACTCAACCCCAAATATAATGAGTAAAAATATAGGACCCTGGATGCCTTTACTATGAAGATGGTAATGTCAAAAGGCTTTGCTCACTTCATAGAACTAAAAGCACATGTTTGATGTGAATCTTCATTTCAAGAAGCTGAAGGTCAGACTTCTTTATCTTCAAGTACATCTTCAGCACACATTTTAGAGGTTTCCTTGCTGCTAAAGAACAAGCCATTTCTAGTTTTACATAGATCATAAGAGTCAAATTGTAGTAAAATACTTGTAATAAAATTTTAGTCTTAAAACCCTGTGATACCATCAAAATTTAGACAAATCATGAGCTCTGCACTACAGGCACTTTAAAAGCAAACACTGTGCAAATGTCAGACATTTGATATAGGGCTGGACAATATGATGACATAGTACTGTGGCATGCTGAAGGGTGGAGCAGCCTTTCCAGCAACGATGAGCTCAGGTAAAGCTCATTCAGCTGAACAAAGTTAGCTCATCTGACCACAGATTAATTTTATGTTTGCCTACTTCTTGTTTCCATTCAGACATGCTAAGTTGGGATCTGCACTATAGATCACAAGATTTTTGGACTACAGTTGCCCAAAAAGCAGTTTCTGACGTGCAGTTTTAACAGCCTTGACTTTCAACAGACATTTGCTCATAATTGATGATGCTGAAACAGTCAGAATATTTCAGTTTCCGGTTTTCTTTTGGATGTCAAACGAGTCAAAGAGTCATGGGTGTGTCTGTGAATGGTTTCTAGTCTGCCTTTTCTGGTCACTAGTGCATGAAAAGTTAGATAATATAACACGTGCCGAATAGTCAATATGATTTAAATATCACTGTCTGTACAAAATCATGCAACAACATAATGCACATTTTTAATTAGGACATGTTTGACTTCACCCACTTCTCATGGACACTCTCTCCTCTGGCCTTCTCTGTGCTGGAATGTGTGTGTTTGTCCTCTTTGTGTTCTCTGGTGTCAGCAGAATGAGATCTCTCTGTAAGAAGGAGTGGAAACAATTCAAAGAAAAACCATGATTGTAGATCAGACACGACGTTTGGTCTACCCCACAGTAAGTCATCTGCATATTAAGCTGACAGGTAGGCTAATGAGTACTCAGCAGTAACACTGAAATGGGGTTGGCATAATGCCTATGAGCTTGAGGCTGGGAACAGAAAACCTTGCTGAGCTCAGACTGACAACATATACCACTGATCCAAACTGTAAAAAAAATGCAACAGTTAAAGCAGAATCTTCTTCTTTAATGTAAAGCAACATTATGGTTAGCAAGCTCAATGACAATGTTTTCAGCATGATGGCCAAATCATTATACATATACATACATACATACATAATGTATGTATATATATATATATATATATATATATATATATATATATATATATATATATATATATATATATATATACACACACACACACACACACACACACACGCACACACACACACTTTGAATAACACAAGAATGGCAGTCATTGTGAGTAGAGCTTTGTTTGTGGAAAACATTACATTGCCCAGGAAAGCAGATAGGCACTCCCAGGAAGCCATAAATGTGCTAGAGAGTGACCTACAGCAAAAACATTTATGAGAAATAACTTTTAAAATTAAGCCTGCTCAACAATCAATCATGTTGGGAATCAACATCACACTAGCATCCATGTAACAGAAGTGAGAATTTTTTTAAATGCCAGTATCTTTGAGATTATGCTACCGTAACACTGAACCAGCACTTTCAACAACCAAACCAGTCTACTCCGCACTGACCACAGAAAAAGAGCCGTTACAGTGCAGACTCCAGCCGCACGTCTGAGTTTGGAAAACACTTCAAAACAAGCCAGGTCAACGCAGGACGATGACAGACTATTATCATGTGCAGAGTAACGTCTCATAAACAGACAGACTCTGTACACATAGCTTAACTTAGCGAGGCTCAGAGGTTCAGGGGAAACAAACAAACAAAAAAATAGTAGCAAGCAAGCACAGCCATAGCGTTACCCTGACAGAGGACCTGAACAATGTGAAGGGGATTAAACGAAATCTAGCACAACTCACTATTACCTTACTAGGTTAGCTAGCTAGTTACTTAACAAGGGTTTAACTGTCAGCCAAGACAGTTGAGGCGACACACGACCAGTCTTTTCCTGGAATGTTGCAACACACATTAGCTCACACCAAGACTACAGCTACAACTTGTGCTCTTCAAACTCCTTCCTGATAAATCGATGCATTTATTTATATCCAAGTCTGGAAAACCTCAGTGTATTTAATTAGCTAACACCTAGCTAGCTTGCAAGAAGGCTAGCGCTCGGTCGGCTCCAATTGTAAGTTAGCTCTACTGTGGCAACTTGGCTAATCTTATCTTACAAAGAGGAGTTTCTCAGCCTTCAATCGGACGCAAACGACAGTTAACGCCTATTTTGCACAGACAACACGAGTATTTAACTTGCTAGCTAACCTCATAAAACGAGGCAGGCAAATTAACATTACCTATCAATAAAAACGACCAAGTGAACTGTAGTGATCCCACTAACAAACTTGACAAGCTCTTGACAACATTTATCAACATTTATATAACATTTATCATCCTCACCAATTAATCTACCAGCATTGGACATTTCCTTCAAATCCCGCTAGCATTGTGGAGAGAATAAATCCAGAGAGCCGCAGGCTGTGCGAACATGAGCTGCTGCACTACCGACTGACAGGCTGAACTGCTTTCTCCTTCACCGCTGGCACAAGCGCACCTACAGACCAGCGCAATCGAGCAGCAGATCAACCGATTGACAAAGTCAGCCGTTTGCCACCAGACCTAATGTTCTGTCCAAAACTCCGATAACCCGAATTTTAGAAAGGCACTTTTGCTTTATCTATTGCCTGAGCAGTAATTTTCAAGAAAATAACCACCATGGTTCATTGAAAAACTGAATTTACCAACTCTCCCCTTTAAGGGACATTCCAACCTAAAAGTAGCATTTAATGTTATTTATGGTGTGTATGATTTTGTAGTTCAGTGTTTTCATCCACCTCTCACTACAATACCCAGCACGTTACACAAATGCATGATGCTTAACAAATTCTGACTGCGAGCCACTGATCTGAAGGCTAGTAAATACATCTGTGGTGCTTCCTAGGCATTACTAATATAGCGCTACCTTCCAGTGGTCATCCAATGTTTTGCTTCGTTAAAAGAATAATTCAGTTGAAGAATCAGACAGCTAGCAAAACAAATTTCAAACAACCCTCCCCGAAGTATCCAAATTTATTCAAAATTTACTTTTATCTTCAAGAAACACCATTGGGTGGGGGTTTTTCTAGTCTTCAAGTCAGGAAATCTCACTTTAGAAATTACTGTGGCAGCGCTGCAAGCAGCGAGTAGGCCTGTTCACAGCAGGTGGCCACATTTTTCATGCTGACTGCCAACCAAAATGTAGACATGTAGGCTTTCTGCTTCTATTATATTAGACTCATAGCACCACTTCAAAACCAAAGAAGCAAACTTCAGACACAAAAACTGCTTTGGCCAATCAACTACCTCTATGGTAAAGGGAAAAACTGTGTAAATAAGATTTTTCGGTAAACTATTCGGTTTACAACAAATGACACACACATGACATACACATCTAAATGCTGTACAACTAATCTGAACAGACAGACAATGTCAAACACTCTGGCTTTCAAAAAATACTCATTGTTAGAAAAGCTGAAAAATCATAGTGTTACTTCACAAACACAATTGAAGCAGGCAATCAGATACTGAAACTGCTAAACAGCATTCATACTATCTGCTTTTATCCACCAATCTTCTCTTTGAACATTTTATGGATTGAAGTTTCAAACAGCTTTGGTTTAGATGGTTCATGCATTTATTTTTTTTATACCAAGGCCATTGAGCTCAGCCTTAAGTGAGGTAGCGAGTAGCGAGACTTGTCACGGCAGTGCAAAGTGGTATGCAGACATACTGGTCTGGTTCCTCACAGGAGGTTGAGCAAACAGTGAAGGAAATACCATCATTTTCTTTCATAAGACAGTCAGCCAGTGAAGAAACAGAATGGCGTCTTATTGAGGCCGCCAGGAAACGTTAAAACCGTTACCATAACGTAAATTAAAAACAAATATAGCAAGTTATTTTCACTCTGGCACCACCTCAGGGCATAGTGCGATCTGTTAACATAGTGGAGAGACATACCACATCTCTGACATCAACACAGCAAATAAAAAGTCTTATGTCACTTAGCTACAGTCTGCTTTACAGAGCTTCTTTGAGCAATCAGCAATCATGCTGGTTCAGTCATCTGCTGAGTCACTATAGTCAGAGATGGAAACAGATAGAGTTTACTGGGGGAACCCCACTTGATTGTCTTTTTCTTGTGAAGTGCCTGTTTGTGGAGCATTTTTCACATTGAAGTATACCTTAAATATTCATAAATGTTTATACATTCATAGATTTTTAATAAACCAGTAAATGTGATAAATCTAGCGCATTTCCTACATTAAAACAATAGTGTGAGCTAACAGCTTTATGGTTTGTTCTAAGCTTAATTTTAACTTGACACTTCAAGTCCAACTTCTAAAAACTCCTTCAGCTCTTAAATTCTCCTGCAACTCTATTCTTCCACACTTTTCTTTTCTGTCCTTAAGTCCTTGCTCTCCTTTCCCTGTCCTCCACACATCTCTCCTTTTTGTTTTATTAAAGCTGAAAAAATAAAAAAAAGAAACTCAAAATATGCATGTTGCCACATAAGTACTTTTGTACTTATCACCAATAAATACTGATCTCCACCATAAGCATGGTTAAGTCAACAGGTGCTTCATCAGTCTTCTGTGTGCAACAATAATACAAATGTTTAAAAATGAAAACAGGTTTGTGAGATCTACATGTCACATGGTACTGCATATTACTGTATTGTAGTCCTGTATGTAAATTTACATTAGAATACATTTAGTCATTTAATAGACACTCTGCTCCAGAGCGACTTACAAAACATGTAGACAGTAGAAGCCAAAGCAATGCAAATTACAAACAGATACTGCAATAATCCATAACCTAAGAGACAAGAGCCATAACATAGCTACATCTAGTTAAATAAAGAAATACAAGTGTACACACTGAGGGGAATTAAGCATAATTTTAAACAAAAAAGTAAAACACAGAGGTAAAGTTCAAAGGATAGAAGAGAAATGACAGAGTGATTCAGAAATGAAGTACAACTGAGTGCAAGTGTTTTAAAGCCTTTTTAAAGTTTAAAGAACCTCCACATAATGTAAATGTTTGAGGAAGAACCCCTAAAGAAGAACCTTTACATTATGTGAAGGTTCTTTAAACCCTTAAAAGGTTCTTCACACTCAGACATCTCATTTACAAAACTGACCCTTTAGAAAATCATGAGTGGTTCTTCTATGGCATTGCTCAAAGAACCATTCACTCAGCAGAGGAGTGACATGAGAGAACTTCAGGAGGCTATTGACTACACAGGCCACAGCATTCTGAATGCTCTATAAAAGAGAAACAGCATATGATAGAATGCTAACAAGGAGGAAAGTGTAATAGTGAAGTCCAGAGATTAACAGAGCTTGAGGAAGGTTAATTTTTTTGTTGTAGTGAAGTTGTAAAGGAGTCAATAGTGATCGAGAGGACCACTGTAGGGGAGTGTTTCACAGGTAGGTAAACGAGTTTTGTCTTGTCCAGATTCAACTTCAGATGGTGGGTCTTCACCCATTAAGAGAAAGTCAGTCAGATATCCTGTGAGATGTCTGAGGTGGATGGTAAAACCAAGAAGTACAGCTTGGTTTCATCAGCGTTGGTGTACAAGGAAAACAGACTCCTGGGGAACCCCAGTAGTGAGTCTATGCAATGCAGACTAAGAACCATTCCAATTTACCTATTAGGACTGATTGTAAAGGTAAGAACAAGAGCAATTTTGTTGAAACTGTTCAAGTAAGTTTCTTGCGGTTCATGGTGTCAAAGGCAGCTGACAAGTCAAAGAGGATGAGGACTGAAGACATGCAGGTCTCCCTGCCTTTGTGGAAAGGTTTAGTGAGTGACAAGGGGGCAGTTTCTGTTGATTGTCCTGGTTTGTTTCCAGCTCAGTTGGTGTCAAGATGTCAAGATGTTTGTTCCCCTCAAGATGGGAAGATAGATAATGTGCCAGAAAGGCACGTTTAAAAACAAAAACAAAAAAAACAGCTTATTGCGTTGATAGTTCTCAACATTCGTAGGTTCTAAGGTAGGCAGATTTGAAAGTAGAAGGAACCTGATCAGAAATCAATGATAAGTTAATCAGTGAGGTCAGAATGTTTAATGTCAGTGTTCCTAGCACCCTATTCACCCTGCTACTGGAAGTTAAATGGTCTCCAGTCCCATGAGAACATATCTTTACTAGAGGGATCCATCAAGAAGTCAAGTACTCGGATGTTCTTTAGTACTTGCAGATACAGAGTCTGATCCCATAATAAATACCAACTTAGAATTAACAATTTCGAATAAAGGTGTTTCAAAGCAATACGCTGAGCATACGAGTCCCGAGCAGAAACACTGAGAAACTGAGCTACTGCAGCTCAGCTAACAATAATGTGCGCCAATATATACACAGTAGGACAAAATGGTCTCTCTACAGCTTATTTTACAAAGACAGTTCAAATTTAATAAAAATGAACATTTATGGTAGGGTTGAGCCGGGAGATAATGCCATGGTCCATCGTCACGTCAGTGGCTGACAGACGATGCTGGCTCAACATTGTGATGCCACAACTGCCATTATTTAATGAAAAACTTCTGAAACAATCTGTGCTACGCAGTCTTTTTTCAGTAGGTTTAGGCTTGAAGCAACAGTCCTATCTAGAAATCAGCCAAGAATAAACAAATGCATGTACTTCTAACATACTGCTCTTTATCATTCTTGTAGCAAATGGACGACACAAGACAAACTCTGTGATATCTGTAGAGCTGTAGATTTCCAGGATGTAGAAATGGCCGTCGTGTGCAAGCTGCAGAGTCAACCCCCACCATGCCCCCTGACCCAAATCGCAATGTGTCTCGGCAGACATTATCATATCCCTGTTAGGCAGACATTGCTGAACCCTAGTTTATACATCACATTCTACTTAGTCAAATGGAGTAAAGTACGCATACTAAGGTAGGATGGTAAATGGTAAAATGTCTCACTTTCAACATCTGATATTTGTTCTATGTTCTACTGTGAATAAAATATGGGTCTAAGACATTTGCAAATGATTGCCTTCTGTTTTTATTTACATTCATTTACATTTTACACAGTGTCCCAACTATTTTGGAATTGGGGTTGTATTTGACAGTTATAATTTTAGCCACATTTTTACCACAAAAAGAGCAACAGTTCAGAAATGTGTTGGTGGATTGCTTGAACATATAAGCAATTTAGTTTTTTATCAAATCTAATTAGTAAGCATGAAAAGACCATTTTCAGGAAAAGGAAAACACTTGCCTCTTTTTACAATCTTGCCAGTTGATGCAGCAGTAGATGGTAACGATCCAGGCCCTTTGGCACTTTTCCGGTATTTAGTAAGCCAGTCAAATTTTGGTGACTTTGGGTACTGCTCACAGACATCTAAAAACAAGGAAGTAGAAAAAATGTCAATCAAAGGGAAAATCAAAGGGGATTTACATTCAGATTTTACATTCAAAACAAGCGTTTACTAGCAATGACATCGGTACACGTTTTGCTTGAGCCTTTGGAAAGAAATTATCATTTCAATTGCAGGACTTATGATCATAAAGGGCCAGTTAAACTAAATAAGCATACAGCTGTATTCCTGTTCTTCAAAATGAGACCTGAAATGCAGTCTCATGGGAGCACTGAAGTCTTAAGGTTTTTAGTCACAAAAAAACAGTCAAATTTTAAAAAATGTAAAAAGTCACCAACTGGTGCATTGTCCAGATTTCAAATATACATCTAAACTCACAATCTGATTCATCTATGCACGTATAATATATAGATAACTAATATTCCAACTGAATTTCATAGCCACAAAATGAGCATTGTAACTATGCACAGACTGTGACAAATAATTAATGCATCAAGATCAATTATCTGCTTATTGACAAGAAGTTGTTTTTAAAGATAAATAGAACAAATAGCTCCTTTAAATGAGAATCCTGCAATAGGTGCTGTCTGGTGATAATATTAATGCCACATCTGGGGAAGGAGGGGAAAACACTGCTACTATAGCAAGCACTTCAAGTAACAATTTAGGAAAGAAAGAGAAAGAAATCAGAAATCCATTTCTGTAAACATCACAGTTTCTTCTTAGTATTAGGATGTCAGAAACTTAAGCGCATAAAGAAACTCTTTCTCTCTCACACAGCAAGAGATGGACTTCCTGTTCTAGAAAAATGGTGTTTAACCACAAGCCTCTAACAAAAACTTCATTGCTACTACTTACCTTGCAAGTTTTTCATATTCTTTCTGGCAACAAAAATGTCTGCACAGTCACTCAGACTCTCCATTACTGTCACTGTGAGTTTGTTATCATACTGCAGCTTACCGCACCACAAAACCTTGCGAAGCACTAATTAGAAAATACAGGATATCCTCTTCGACTGAAAAGAACTTGCTATATGTGAAGCATTTAATGTAAACAATCAGCTAACTCAAAACAAGTAAAAAAGAGCATCCCCATGTCCACTACAGGCAACAAGAAACTTAATTTTGACAACTCGGTTGCTCTTAGTTGGAGTAGAGTTACAAACCAATCTCCACCCCCTCGTTCCTTATTCTCTCACCCCCCGACTAGTGTTTGACTCTTTCTCTTCTTTTTGGTCTTAGCACATCAGGGCCACATTTGGCTTCCTTCTGAGAGGTCTGTTCACTGAGAGAATGAGTGGTGTTTTCTCTTTGAGTCTGTTGCAGTTTCATAAAGAGAACATAAAGCTATACTAACCAAGTCAAAATGTCACTAAACTTAAGTTTATGTATTGTAGCCTACATACAGTAAGAAAAACTAACATACAACCAAGTCCTTACAGATAGGTGACTAAGAAAGATAACATTTCCTCCATCTTCCAGTGTTGTGCATTTGTAAGTGTACAAAATAGAACTGTAAAAAAAACGTACAAAATGTGACAATTTTCCTCTGCATCTTTACACAGCAGAATCAATACACTTTATTCAACTTTATTATGTAGTCATCCAGGACTAGTGTCGGGCACCACAGATTTAAACTTAAACAAAGTTAAGAATATTACTGTGAAGTAAATATTAGGCCTATTAGAAGGCTTTGCAAATTGTATATTTTGAATGAAAAATAACTGCGCTCAAAGTCCAGCAAACACCACAGCTGGCTCTACCAAGCAGTTGAGAATGGTTTAACCTTAAAAAGCTTAGCAGTCTGTCCAAGGAGACATATAAAACACACTGATCACTGATAAACAAAAGAGGATAAAGGCTTACCGCACCATGCTCTGTTGACCTCACTGAGGAAAAGACGAGTGTGGGACCCAAAAGGTAATTTGAACTTTATCTCCTCATTTAGGAATGTCACCCTCACTCGAGTGTCTGCACCTAAAACAGGAAAAAGAAATACAATGACGCATTATGTCCTTTATAAGTGATCAGACTCGTTTGGGTTTTGTTCCATTAAAGCAACAAAAAAACACTGTAAAAAACTGTTTTTTCTAAAATACAATAACATACTCACCAACTACAGCAAGCTCTTCTGGGGAGGACACTGGAAAGAAAACAGAGAAGCAAAACACTAGACTGTGCTGTGCTCTTACACAACCACACCAGTCAAAGGCATATTTCAGTTCTTCAGTTCACTGATGAAAAGTGACACCCTACAATAATGATTCCTACAGCTGTATAGTTTATAAATTGGACATTCATTTTCAGTTAATTTCTTTCCACACCTTTGATGCTGGCAATCAGTACAATAAGTCAACTAGAAGATGTGCTACAGAACAAGAGCCTGTAATCTCAGATCAGCCACTGAACAGATGCTAAATGTTTTCTTCAATTAAGAATCAAACTTGCGCTATTTGAAGAATCCAAACTGCACTATTTGAGGATGACATCCAACTCTATACATATCATGTCATATACAAAAGTTTGAACACTCCTGGTAAAATGACATTGAATTTACTTACTGAGTTTAACATACTGGGGAAAATGTGCCATAACTTTTAAGACAGGGTTTATGTTTGTTTTTTTTGGAGGAGCAAGTGAGCCGTAATTGTGCATTAATGGGTGCAGAAGTGTATTCTCCTTAGAGAATATGTGCTTACTTTTGGTCAAGCCAAGACAAGGGGTGTGCAAACTTTTGCATGACCTTATGTATGCAGTGTTTTCCACACATTTAGGTGACTTCCCCCCCAACCCAGGTATACTGACAGCCACCCAAGTGCACTTTGTCCCATTTTAACATTTTCCAAAATATTTCATATTGTTAAATATTCACATAACACAAGACACAACATAAGCTGTTCAGTTAAAAAAAAAAATACATTACTACATTACAAGAAAATACAAGATAATAAGAAAAGCAACAGCCATATAAGAGGACTTTTAACATCCTGTTCAGGCTTACCTTCAACAACAGAAAAGTCATATGAAATGGGAATTATTTTTTGCAGTGTTACATCACTACCAGTGATTGCCATTCTTCTGTGTGTAAACATGAATAACCTGAAAAATAAAGGAAACAGGGAATACATTATATCTAGTGGACACTAAACACCAGAAGTATTTATTATGGGAGAAGCCATCAACGCTTGTGAGCTTCGGTTATGGTCTGTATCATACTGATGTAGTGTGCGTCCCTTCTTCAAACATTAAAATGAACTAGAACTGGGGAGTTCATTACAAGCATACTAAAGCATATGTTTATCCCAGAGATGCACTACTACTGACATCAATGTTGGTATTGAGCTGATAGTGGATGGTTATGTACTCAGCAAACTGGAATTATATGCAAAAGGCCAATAAGGAATTATAATGCACTGAAAACTCACAAAAAACATTCAGTGTGTCTACTTCATTCACCCAGGCACAAAGCAGAGATAAAGAATAAGTGAACAGCTAAACATGACTGCCAGTTTCGCTTGCAGACAAATCAAAGATCCGGTGCTCTGGATATTATATAGTACGTTATTTTATACAGGGGTGTAACAATTCATCATGACATTGTGAGACCACATTGCAAAACTGTGCATTATGGAGGATGGATTTTCCATTACTTATTTATCTGATGTAACTGCACTGTTTGAATGCCAAAGTCTGCAAATAATCAGCACAATCTCACTGCAGCATGTTCACCTCACGCCACCTTGCTCTGATCTCATTAGTTAAGTGTGCAACAGTCATCATTTTGCTTCACTCAAATGTTGCTCATACAAATATCATGGGAATAACCAGACTGAACCCAGTATTGTAAATCAAATCGACCTGTTCGCTGAATGTATAATCACACCCGTTACGATGCACTGTGAACCTGGAGAATACACTGTCTGTGAGAAAGTTTGTGAATCTTTTGTAATTGTCTAGATTTCCGTATTAATGGCTCCAAAAATGTGATCTTCATCTTTAAAGTCATAATAATAGAGAACAACAGTCTTATTTAATCAATGCTCAATACTTCACAACTGTATATTTTTCAGGTTCATAACCCACCATTAGCTTGTACCATGTTCAATAATTAACGTATGCATCTAGTATTAACATTTAAGCCTTTTAAAAATCCTTATTAACTGTCCATAATGAGAAAGTGCAGTTAACAACTGTAAATGCCTTACGCATGTTCCTTGATATGCTCCACCAGACCCAGGAGTCTGCTCTCAGTCCCATTATCCAGCAGCAGGAGACACTGGACAGCATGTTTAAGGTGGTCAGTTAAAGATGTCTACACGTTTATAATGGCACTGTGCTTACAGAAGAAAGCATTTCTGGATGTCAGCAAGCTCTTATATGCTGACACTGAACTAAAATGTTGTTGTTAATTATGTGTAAGAGAGACCCCATGTGGAGACATCTTGTAAGACATTGTCTGCCATTGGCAGTGAACTCTGACCATCCTAGTGGGCAAATTCACAGACATATAACACGTTTATCAGCTTCTTCTGGTTTAAGAATAACTGTGGCAACATGCATATTATGAAATGTGTACAACATTTAACACCGTATTATTACCGACTTTACATGTGTGGTATCTTAAAGAAATTCCACCAATTTTTCAAAATTTCTGAATAATTCAGTCATTGAAATGTAAGCACAGTCATTTAAAGTGGTTTGACGTAAAAAGGTTCATTCCCGAGAAACTTAACGACTCACATTCCTTTACAGTGGTGGAGATGGGAACCAGGGGTGACAATGTCTTCAACGCAAATAAAGCTAGCTATTTTATTTTCTATCCAAAACCACCAGCGAACTTACACGTGCCTCTTGAGTTTCATATATAATGTTAATAAAGGTGAAACAGTGAATAAATCTGACAATAATAATGTTTTCTTTGGGGACTGTTTTGCCTTACAACACCCTGCATGTACTCATCCGCCCTAAATAGATTACAATAAATGGATTCAAATACGTTTTAAGCCAAAACTTCATCACAAAACTGTGTGGAAGCTTTCAGAGGCGTTAAACTCTTCATACGTCTGGTTCCTATCACCACCTCTGTGAATAATTCTTACTCGTCAAGTTTCTCTAAAACGGAGCATTTTACACCAAAAAAAAACTGTGCACGACTTTCTTTACATCCGAACCATTTAATTATGTAATTTTTCTGAAAAATCAGTGGAGTTTCCTTTTAACCTCTGAGGCAGTCAGGTCCTCGGCCTGTGAGTTGCTGCTGATGTGGAACATTTCTGCTGAAGTCGCTTAAAGAGTTGTTAACAGTTAGCTAGTTGGCTAACGACAGACAGAGAAATACACGGCACGAAAGGAAGTTTCTCTGCCGCAGACAACTGACTGCATTAGAAGTAGGATACTATGAGGCAGTTTTCTCCGTCGTCCAAAGTCTCTTGAATCGCCACAGACTGATCCATTTCGGGCGAGCACTCCGGGACGGGACCGTTAGTTAACTTAGCTTAACGTGACTAGCGTGTCAAGAAGAAGAGGAAACAAAACTTGGCTAGGGAGCCACGGGAAGACGACAGATTCTCTTCTCCGAAGCCTGCAGTAACTTTACACATTCCGCCTGCGCAGTACAAGTTTAAAACTTGCTAAATTTAGTCTCATTCCCCAGTCAAGCACGACTTCCATTTTTCCAGCTGTGCTCTGTGTGCTCCTCCGTGGCACTGGCTACTTACGTCACGCAAACTGGGAGTGTTTTCCCTTTTATCTAATGGTACTGATTTGTGAGTTACTCACAGAGTCATGTGTAAAATTAATTAACTAATTAATGACGAAATAAAATTCTACTTTTGCCATGGTATTAAAAAGGTGCCGTAGCGTAGAAGTAACTGAAAACGTAGAAAACATGCAATGCGCAATCACTGGATGTTTATTGTTGCTTGGGGGGGGTGCACTTCAGCAGTGGCATACGAGGAGGGTAGACACATCCAACACACTGTAACCCACCCTCCACGGTTACAGCTACTCTAATTAACTACAAACCAACCCACCCAGCGACAACAGCAATCACTAAAACAGACCTTTCTAACCAGGGGTATGCCATGCTCCGAGAGTCACTTTGCATGGCCACATCCCCTAAGCTCCGGAGCCTGTGGTGGACGCCACACATCCCTCCCCCCACCGTCCCTGGGGCACGCGGAGTACCCGGCCTACACAAGTGCCGTGAGGTGCCCACAGGCTTCCTTGGGGTTGTGTCCTTGGTACAGCATCTCCTTGATGTACCCCGCTCCAGGTAAGCTGTCATCTAGCGGGCAGCCGACCGCCAGCTCCATGAGCTCCATCGGTGTGCGGGAGTGGAGAGACTGAGTGCTGCATCCTCATTCTGGGTTGGAGACACAACTCCTCGCAACTCCCAGCAGAAGTCCAAGCCCTGTTTACTTCACCATCTTCCCCATCAAGCCGCCTCGCTCTCGACTGGCTGGACCCATCAGGGAGGGTGCAGGCGTAGCGCTCAATACACCCGAGGCCTCTTCGCCATCTGCCTGTTGATGCACTGCTCGACTTTTTCCAGATGGACCATCTCCCACTCCTGACACCACTGTAGCATAGGCGTAGTACAAGACGCAGAAACATTCCGCATATGCACAATGCTTTTTTATTTTGAGCAGGCACTTCAACAGCATCAAGAAATGCCCAGGCCAGCCCTACCCCACAATGAACCACAAGGACAGGGTAACACGGAAGGACACAACATCTGAGAAGGTTAGACACACCAACACACTGTAACCCACCTTCTTTGGTTACAATTACTCTTATTAAAAACAAATTTATCCACTCAGGGACTAAAACAACAGCAGTCACAACAAACTGACCTTTTTAACCACTTGCATGGCCACACCCCCTAAGCTCCGCAGAGCCTTCTGAACGCTAAAGTGCTTACAATCCGCCATAGTGAGGGCATTTATCTCATTGTAATCAACATTCATTGAAATGTATTAAATACCAAATTTATTTTTGTGAGATACTGAAAAATATAAGCTCATTAAACCTATATAAGATATTTAATAAGTATCATGATTTTTAGTTTTTTTGTTTTTAGCAAACCAGTTGGAGCAAATAAAATATTACAGCATAACAGTAGTGCCCCATTTAAAGAGTTTTATCCTGTCTTTAATCAAATTAAATGCAGTATTCAATTGCACTTTCTATTTAAAAAAAAGTGAAAATGACTTTTTTATTGACAAAAAGTGCAACTGTGCTGCATTTAAGAGCCTACCTGTCTGAGACGGTAAAATACAGTGAATATTTCTGCTATGGTAGAATTAGAGTAGATAAACAAGATTGTAAATGTTAGTTAGTAAAGTCTAAATGATGTATTACAGCATACAGCCTAGGCACTATGCATTAAGGCCCCACATTCTATATACCCACTTAGTAATCAGTGATAATGCTGTGGGGAAAAAAGTGTTTAGCATTATATAAAAATTAAACATACAAACAAAAACAAATGTTATCAATAATTATTTAATTTGTACAATAAACTGTAGACATGTTTGTACAATCTTACAGTGATGATAACGTGCAAAAATAAAGCTTTTTGGTTTTTGAATTTAAGCTAAAAATCCTTTGCTACAGTCTTTGCCTTTGTTTCAAATATTGTTTTGATGACAAATGTCTAGTATTATAGCTTCAAAGTGCATGTTCCCTTTTTTGTTTGGTTGTCAGTCCTGTGTAGAAATGGCATTTTCAGTATACTTTCAGGCAGCCTTAACCCTTAGGAACGCATGGCTATTAACACCCGATTGGAAGCCAGGTGTGTTCTGATTATTCTTTAGGTTTTGATTGTCTGCTTTTGAAGAAATAACGAAGGATTTCATCGAACTAATTGTCTCCACAACTTCCAAACATCTGTAAACAGCAGACAACAATCAAAAAGGAAGGTCCAAACTGAAGGAAACCATTTGCTACAAAAACAAGCTTCGCTGCAATATGGCCATGTCAAACAGTAAGCATGCGAAAACTAAATCATTCAGCATATATCTGTATGTAACAGGAGGAAATTTGCCAGGCTAGGCCATGGCTCACGCTGCACTGTTTATAGCTTAATGTACGGATTATATATGTTAAACTCTGTGCAGTTAAATCATAGACATTTTCTCATTGTATGTTCTCTCTTTATATAGATTTCTATAGACAGAGTGTATATAAGCTTTATTTGACATGCACTTACATGCACATCACATACTCACAAAAACAGAAAAAGTGATGCATTGATATATATATACATACATATACACACACATATGTGTATGTATATATATATATATATATATATATATATATATATATATGTAACACAATTTTGTGTTGTAGTTACTTTGTGCTAATGTGATGTATTCATGTCATTACTTCAGTGCATCACTTTATTCAATGCACACACACATACATACACCCATACACACATGCATACATAGTTTTTTTAAAGTCTTCCTGCAGTGTTCTACAGCCGATTCTGAGGCTTGATGGGTACATGAGGCCTGTTATGCTGAACTAGCCATGCTTATTATCCAAAGGAACAATGAACAGGCCATCAGCAGCATCGGAGAGAACAGCCCTCTGGTGGCAGAGCTGGGCATGTTCACTGCACCGGTCAGCTTCAGGCAGGAGGCCGCGGTAGTAGCATTACAGCACTCTAAGAAGCAGGTAGACGTTGTAGATGAGCAAGCAGTCTCTTTGCTGCAGTCCTCACTGCAACCTCCTGTCCAGGTCACCACCGTTCCACTTGTCGCCTTTTTTAGCTGAGAGAAAGAAAAAACAGGGTAGATTTTCCTCTGTAAAATGTTGCTGTACTATTACAGTGGATGAGAAGTTTAGTGAGAAAGTATCCTGTCAATAAAGCTACTTGAGTATCGAGTTCCCTATAGATCTGCAGTGGAACAGTACATCCAGCATCTATCAGCATAGGAACAGATGTTTGTTAGGCACTAATCTTCTCTGTTATGTTCAAAATGAGAAGTGTGAGCAGCAGCAAAGCAATCCAGCTGTTGAACCAACATAACAGAATGGAATGAAATGTGAAAGGCTAAATTGGAACTAAGTAAAAGACAGATTCAACAGCCCACATCACTGTAGCCACACCCATTCACACTGAACTTCTGAGGTATGTTTCAGCTCTGAATTACTTTTTGAATGAGACACAATATTGGGCAGCAAATCAGAACAGAGCTCATTTACATATATCAGTCTTAAAGATATGGAAAAAAACAGTCTGTTTATTCTAAGGGATACATTGATGCTGGAGATAATCATGTAAAAAATGAATTATAACTGTATTGGTCAATGAAATAAAAGAAAAGAAAAATGTTTATTTTTATACATCTATGTGGCCTTTAAGTACATATAACTGAGTAAATGGGACTTGCTAGTACCCACCGCTGGCTAGCAATATGTCACAGTAGATCAGGGGTGGGGAAATCCAGTCCTGGAAGGCCAGATACCTGCACAGTTTGGTGATTTTCCTATTCAAGATCACCTGATACAACTCATTAGCTAGTTACCCGGTTTAATTGGTGTTCTACAGCAGGGAATTCACTAAACTGTGCTGGATTCCTGACCTCGGTTCCCCACCCCTGCAGTAGACGGTATACAATTATCATTCTAGTTACCTCAAAGCTATATCTTTTCTTCATTACTACTGTAGTAGAGTTTACATAGATCTTGCTGTACAACGCCGTGCAAACCTCACCCTCACAAACCCGACCCCACTGATGCTGTTGTTGCATAAACTAAACTAATCAAATTAATCATTTGAACTAATCAATCATTTAAACTAATCAAATCAATCAATCACCCATTACAGAACTGACTCTCTGTGTGTTTTTCCTTTCTTTCTTTCCTTTGCCAAGTTGAACAGCTGCCCATCCTGTGCGTCTGATGCTGCTGCCTCTTCTGCCTTGATTGGGTGCCACTGCTCGCCAGCCCTCTGGACTGGCTTGACCACCATCAAGCTCCATGCTGTACTACGCCGTGCAAACCTCACCCTCACAACCTGACCCCACTGATGCTGATGCTGCTGCATGAACTAAACTAATCAAATTAATCATTGCTCCACCTGTTTTCCCTGTTTTTGTACTAACAATGTTTACTATCTGGTGTCAACCAGAGGAGGATGGGTTCCCTTTCTGAGTCTTGGTTCCTCTCAAGGTTTCTTCCTGTTTCCTAGGGAGTTTTTCCTTGCCACTGTCACCACTGGCTTGCTCATGGGACCCGGATTTCTTTCTGTAATGCTGATTTCCTTGTAAAGCTGCTTTGTGACAACACCTGTTGTAAAAAGCGCTATATAAATAAACTTTACTTACTTACTTACTAAGTGTGATTTCTTACCATACAGTAGTTCTGAGTAGGAGAACACAGCACCACATTTGTATTGCCTTGATAACAGGTGTCCCCATTGCAGCTGATCTTATGACACTTCTTGCCCTGTTGACAGTAAAGATACAAACATAAAAAAGTAGTGAGTGTAGCCCATATATTTAATGAATACCCATATTCTGTAGCATCTTGCTATACTTTTAACCCATTTTTAGGCCTTTTCAGTCTTATCCATTTGAGTATAATGCTTCCTTCAAACATTTAACTGCCTTTTTTCCTTTTTTAAGATGCATTTTAGTTGTTGCATATAGCGAGGTAAACCGCTTTTTGTTCATTCTTACATTGGTTGGAGCAGTGGTGGTTACAGCTGTGGTGGCCTTAGTAGTAGTGTTTGTAGTGGTGGACTGTGTTGTAGAAGTCACTGATTAAAGGAAAAAGAGACCAGAACTGATAGCTTAGAGCAAGTCTACAGTACACAACCACCATGCACTAAAGGAATGTTCAAAATAAACCACTGGGACATCAGATACACATTTATGAAACATCCTGGCATGAGCAGAACAAGAAAAAAAGTGGGATTAGCAGTACTTGACATCATGGTGGAGTTCAGGAGGTTAGCGATTATGGCGTGGTGGCAGGTCTCCGAGCTACAACAGTTGACAGAGCAGTTGATCTGAGATGCATTGGTACAGAGAGTGGGGCAGGCTGTAGCGCAGTCAATCAAATACCTCATGGTGTCATCTCTCCTCAACTTAAACATCAAAGAATATTAGTCACCGCATTTCAAAATAAATTCACAGTTTTTGGTATGGTATGAAATTGCCATGAAACTCATAATAAACATGTACAAGTGAATACTTAATTAAAATATAGATACATTCTTATACCTCACAGTATTTGGCACTAGCTGGGCAGAGGGTGGCGTTGGTGTTCATGAATGTGTGGTGGCATGTCGTATGGTTACAGGTGAGAATTCGACAATAAAGCTGTGAAAATTCAGATGAAAAACTAAATCAACACCCACATTTCTGAACTTACTGCTGATTGTTCAGGCCCAAAGCCAACAGGTTGCTTATACTCACCATGGACGTGTTTGTACTGTTTGAACCTGCAAACCAGAGGAATATTTTATCGGGTAAACATCAACTTTATATACTTACTTTATATCTTTATATACTTTTGTCTGGTAGTGTTTTTTATACATTTACCCCTTTGTTTTAAACTTGTGAATAATCAGATTTCCACTGTACTGTTTCCTCTCTGTAATCCATTACCTGAGCTTAGAGCTGTCACATTTGTAGTCACGGTGATGGTGACATTATCGGTCATGGTGACATTGTCGGTCATGGTGACACTGGTGGTCATGGTGGTCATGGACGTTGTGCTGACAGTATTCGGTGAAGTGGAGCTTGAAATCTGACCGGAAAGTGTGGTGATAGAAGTGGATACATCTGTTGCTGTGTTACTATCTGTCCAAAGTGTAGATGTTGCGTCTGAGGAGACAGTGGAAGTTTCTCCCCTTACACATGAGGGCAAACTCATTTGCAATAATAAAAAAAGAAGAAAGCCTGCTGGGAAAAGAAAGAGATGGTGAAACTGTATGTGCATCTTCCATTTATATTTTATTTCCATTCAAACTGGCTATTAAGTACTAGGTATTGACCATTCTTAATTTTATACACTGATTTTCAGACTGATTTTTGGGATATATTTACTTCAGAACAATGGGTTCTAACTGCTCACTTCTTTTGACTTGGTACTGTGTATCCACACACACACACACATATATATATATATATATATATATATATATATATATATATATATATATATATTTGCATCAATCTGAAGAACGATTTTCTTTCTATATATTTATATAAGAGAACTAATTGTTTGAATCTATTTGAATAATTAACAGTGCTTCACAACCACTACTCTCATAGTTAAATGTTGCCAGAGTAGAGAGTGCTATGAATGTGTTCTGTATGTAATCCAACCCAGGATTCTCCCCAGGAATAAGCTCATAAAACTGCCATGTATCAAATATCCTACTGTTTAATTTATAAAAGCACACTGTCACTCATACTTGCTGAATATTTGTATATACACGTATAATAGAAGGAATAATTTATATGCCTTCTTTTGTGTAAACATCTTTTGTGTTGTTTAGTAGATGTCAATAGCAGTTTCAGAAGGTTACCTTTTGAGCAGGAGCTTGAGCCCATACTTTTCTTTGGACGTAGACTGTGATGTTTTCTGTGGTTATCTGCAAATACACAGCCAAATTACAGTTAATTCAGAAAACTGTCATGTTGATTCTAAAATTTGCTCTCTCAGTGACTGCACATATCTCTATTAGTTTTTAGATAAAGGAGCATATGGTTTCTTTTTGTTCTGGAAAAAAATGGAAACAATAAACAAAACATTTCAATTGGCTGTAAAAATAAGCTCTGTGTCACGAGAAGGTTGTTGTGAAAGTGGAATCGCATCACCTTTGCATATTCAAAACAGACAAGCAACACAATCCATCAATCCATCTGCAACAAATTTTCCATTTTTAATAATGAGCAACTTGTTTCACAAGACACAATAAAAAAATGACTCCTGAAAATTCTCATTTTTCTTCTAGTTTCATCATCGCATGTTAATGTTGAAGTTAGATTTCAATATTTTTTTTGTTGATGTTGCATAACAATATGCTCATTTGTTCAAGGGCAGTTGTTCCTTTGGTCTACAAAGAGGGATGCTATTAGAGGTCATGTATCACCATGTACTGTTGCAATGAACAGGTCTCATGTTGGTTGAGTAAAACGTGCCGCTGCAGTGTGCTCTGAGTACGCATGAAAGTAACTGTGCTCCCAAGTCTATGGGTGTATTTGTTTGGGGACTGAGGATCCAGCCTATGCTGTTGTCTTTAATAATTAAAAAGCAGATCTGATACAACAAATCATGAATTCATACATAGAAAGCTACTGGAAGATATTTCATATCCATAGCTACCATAATGGCTCCCTTTCAGTGGGACTTGTTGCTCACACACAATTAACAACTTGTTTGTTCTCAGAGAATCTCTTGGGTAAAAGCGCGAAGCACAGCTCGTTACACCTACTGCCCAGAGGAACATGCATAACCCCTTTAGGAAACTATCCTGGAAACCACCATCGATCAACAGGTCCTCCAAAATACACTCTCTCTCTTTCTGTTTCTCTCTCTGCTTCCTACTTTAAAAGCAGCTTGCTAATATTCAGTGTTTCATGATTATTTAACTTCAGTTAAGGAAGAGAAAAATATACATTTAATTTTTAAGGTCAATTAAAGGGTGTAATTGAAGGATTTCATTTCAAAGTGCATTACAGCCCACTTTCAAGACTTTTCATGATATATATTGTTGGGAGTGAGCTTTGCACGTGCAAGAAATATCAGTGCTATATTATGATTAACACCATATTCATTAGAAGAATACAAATGTGCTTTTCTTTTTATATCAGCTGCTTTTTTTGCAAAAACGTGTTCTATTCAAATTTCTTACAAACGGATATACAGCATTTTGGAACAAAACTCTTCACTTATACAGTTTCACACAACTGCCTTTTAGGCAAATATGGTAAGAAATATGGTAAAGATTAACAATGCATATAGACAAATGCACTGTACATGGAGCATACAGTTAAATCTCAATATAAAAAGTTTTTTATTCAACTGAACTCCATGGGGGCTTTTCTAAGATTAGTGATCTTATTATTTTATTGCATGATCCTCAACAATTTAATTGAGGAAAAATGTGTCTCTTACCATCAGTTTATCAGTTACTTTGTGTAAAAAGAGTGTCTGGTGTGTTGATTATTCCTGCTTCTACTGTAGCACCTGTTAGCAGCTATTTGGCAGCATTAATCTGGAAATCTCTCAGCACTTACTCACATCCGATACAGCACAAAGTTACAGCACTGTAATTTCTATTTATAAAATATATGCCGCAAAGTTGTACTTACTTTTATCCAGAATGAAGGAAAGTGATGCCTGAGAATGACAGCTGCAGCTGAAGTGAAGAGCGTCTGGCACGATGCCCTTCTCTCTCTCTCCTCACTCTCCTCTCTCTTCTGCCCTCTCTCCAATCCTGCTGCTGTCTCCCTGCTGACATCACACCAGAGGTGGTCTAATTAGTGGAAACTTTGAGCAGCTCGCCATCCTGATTGCACGCCTAGCCAGGAGGGGAGGGACAAAATTTGGACAGCTAGAAGAATTGGTCCACTCAGATGAAGAGATAGCATTGTTCTACAGTGACTAAATCACAAATGCTTTAATTAAAACATGTTTCCATTATGAGCCACGTGAGTCCACTGTCATGCAACCATTCACGTCATATGATTAAAAGGCTCCTTGATGTGTTTTTTTAAGAGCTGGATCATCTAAATATGATTAACATTGCAAATTATCCTAGCACTGGATTACTGTGACTAATTACCATATTATTAGTGTTGCTGCATTACTTTGTACTGTTAGACAGGACAATATTGTAATTGTCCTAATTGACTCTGGTGGCTCTATCTGTGCTTCTTCCATGACTTGCAGTATATGCCACTGTTTTTGATAATAGAAGCTAAATGCTTTCTAGGTGAAGGTGTTTGATTCCTCACGAATACTTTTTCCCAGTACATATACTCACAATTTAAATAACAAAGAAAGCAGAAGCACAGCACTGATTGGTTTTGGTGGGACATTTTTAGTGACCTACTATTTTATATGCTTGAATTTAATTTAATTGACAACTAAAACATTTCATTTTTTGAATAAAATCATACTGTACTGAGAAGATCATGAAAATATACCAATATATGCACTTAATCTACCTCAGTGAGGCCTTGAAGAAGAGAGCACATGTCAGCTGGAGCTGAAGGGACACCAATCACCCCCTCCCTCTCCTCCCTCAAACAACATGGCTGGTCAAGATTGTTGTATTATTTTATTTATTCAGTCATTTTTCAAGCAAGGCAAGAATTTCAAATAAAACTATTCACATAGACATAGTGCTTAATAAATCAAAATCATGTCTCTGAAATGTTAAGCTCAAAACTCATTTAAAATATGTTCATATTACTCTTGGGTAAAAACATTCTGAACTTTTAATGTAAGTCAATGTAAACATATTATTCTTAAGTGATTTTGAAGCATTTCTATTTGGCCATTCATCATGAGATTTTCACAAAATGTAAAAGACATGCTGTGGAGATTTTTTGTTTTGTTGGACATGATGATATATTGTTTATTTTTACATGTTAAATTTTATATTATATTATATTATATTATATTATATTATATTGTCACTGTCCAAAGAAAAACAAGTATCTCCAAAATCTTAACTTTACAGGACAGGGCAAAAACACTCTTTACTTTCAATGTAAGTGAATGAAGTAATGAAGTCATGTAAAATGATTTTATTATTATTTGTAATGGTCCTATCATCATATATATATATATATAATGTTACTTGCAATCTTACAACATATCATAGTTGAAGCTAAGGACCCCACACAGAAGATCACTCCGGTCAGAAAAATCAGCCTTGTGTTTTCTGGAAACTCGTTACCATGCATATCTCACATCACAGTTCACATCCAGATCCCACTGTGGTCACTGACTAATCTAGATTGCACTAGTAGTTTCTGATTAAAGGAAAACAGAGGTATAAGAGGTCTAGAACTGAAAAAGTGTGCTGTGAAAATAATCTGTTACAACTCTAACTTCACACTGTGAGATTTTAACACTGCAGAACTCGATACAAATCAGAAAAAGAGTTTCTAAACCATGCAGTGTGAAGGCTATGGATCATGTAAACAATTCTGCTTCTCTGATAGTTTGTCTACACAAGAATGCAAATTTGTTTGCAGAGGGAAATGACAAATGAGGTAGAGAACAGGAATATGGATATGAGTGGCTTAAAGTATGAAAGGCTGTGAGATGCAAAGCCAGGTTGGTTCAAAGTGTAAGAGTAAATATAATGTAAGAGTGAATATAATGTTTATATATGGAGTCAGTACAGTCAGTACAGAACTGTTGTTTCTTTTCTAGCTCAAGTGCCGGTAGAAGGATGACTGTATGCACTTACTTTGCAATCCCACCATTCAAAAAATGAAGACAAACTAAGTATCATGTTTTAATACTGTCTAAAATGAATTTGCTCATAACCTTTTCTGGTTCTATAGGGTTCTCTGCATTTCAGTTTCACCTTTGATAAGGTAAATGTGGAAGCTCAGTGCCCTGAACAAGGTGTAACACATCCCTGAAGCTGAGATTTTGTTAGAAAAACTTGAGAAACTATGAGAAACTGTACATTCTTTTTGGGCTTTATTTTAGTGCCTTACTCAGTCAGGAATATAGATTATATGAATAAACTGAAGGGGGGAAAATCATACATCAAAAACAAAAACAAATAATGCAGGCCTGTGGGAGATATTCAGCTTTCAAAAAATTTGGTTATGAATTTACATGCTGTACTCCTGCAATTGTTTGCTCCATTTCTCTCATTTCCATAATCTCTGTGGGACTTGAGGCCATATGTGGTACTGGATTGCATTAAAACCAAAATCAAATCACCTGTGCAATGGCCCTAGGCAAATTCAGAGATGCTTATTCATACTTCTTTATGTAACTCTGACTGAAGGTACACTGTATGACTTAAAAAAAAAGACAGAGACTCTCACTTTTCTTATTTACTAAGAAACTAAAAAAATATGTCTTTGTCAAAATCTTACTCAGTTAAAAGTATAGAACTAAAAATATGCATACTCAAGTGTCTAAAAGTAAAAAGTATATTTTGTAACCGCTAAATATAAAGTTTCTTTGTTTGGTGTGTGATGCATGGTTGTGTGATTTGATGACTAATCAGCAGGACACAAAGACAAATTAGTTGCGGCAGTATCATTTCACAATGTTATGAATTTGTTTGGATGTTTTTTTTAATAAGAAAATAAATAGATAAACTCAAATGTATGGGAACTCATGGCAAGAGAAAAAGAAGACAGTCTCTTGGTCTTTGAGATTTATAATGAATACTTTGAGGGTCAAAATGAAAATGTAAAGAGTAAAAAAATGTTTGTTTTTGTTTTTTTTTCTCTTGGAAACATTATTGAGTGAAAGAACAATGATTAAATTTCAATAAAGTCTTCCAGAACAATACTTAAGTGTATCAACAAAGTGAAATCACTTACAGCTTCACTATGTTAGCTTTTTTAAACTGAAAGAAATAGCGTTACTGAGACAGGAGAAAAAATATGGTGTGCACGCACTGCTGTGAGTCGCCCTGTACAGCCTGAAATAATCATTTAAATTTCAAAGGCATTGGGTCGGATTTTGAGGAAGTTTTTTGGACCAAGTCATACATCTTTACTGATTAACGTTACACACACAGGCTCAAAAAAAGCTCTGGCTCGATGTTTAGATCTCAAAATCAACATTATACTGATGATTATATGATGACAATAGTAAACAAGTCACTCAGATCCTTAGAACACATGTCCTTCACTAAGTTTTGACTGAGTTCTCTTTAAATACTCTTGAGCTTGCAATCATCAAAATCATCTGCTCTTGAAAAGGGCCTGAAGCACAACCAATGTTACAAAGTGTGCTTCCACATGTTGCATACAATGACACATTTCCACCAGGGAGGTCCCCAAATCCCCAAACCTTACATAGTACAGCTTTAAGGAAAAGGTTGTGGATCCACCTAAAAATCTGAGAAAAGTGCTCAGTATGTTATATGCACTTTAACTGGAACTCACTATACCTGAACAGTTAAGCTGTATACTCACTTACTTGAATGTTTATGCTGTTAGCTGTATGCTTGAGCATTAAGCTGCTAATGCCAATTTACCTGCACTGTACACTTTGTGAAAATAACTTCTGTGATGCTGTTTACAAACGCTCACTATGATTTGCACACCAGACCTGGTTTACCTCAACATACTGTACACTTCCACTTAAGTATTGAAAGTTTGGCCATGTACACAATTGCATTTAAGAGGAAATGTCGAAAACAAAGGCTATCTAAACAAAATGTACTTAAAAATTGTTTTATAGTGTTACCTTAATGAGATATATGTTCAATATTATATAAGCATATATCATGTATTTAAGAATAATGATCACCATTTATCACTCAGAACATAAGATAAACACACACTGAATATTATTCATTCAGAATTACAGGAAAAATAGAACCTTATGACCAAGCAGGTGGCAGAACATGACAAATGGCTAGCTATGATGGTATTATTTGAATACAGTGAATGGTGTATGGCCTGCTCTGTCCCTGTAGGCAAACATTACAGAGTGGGTGGAGACCCAGGCATGCTCCATGTTTCTCCTGGGTTTCTCTGGGGCTTCTCCTGGAAGATTCAAGACAACGAAACAGCAGCATCTGGCTTTGGCTGTATGAGCTTAATGAAGCCCCTGAGAAAGAACCCTCAGCTCAGTGTGTTTACTTGTAAGATGACGTTAGACCCTGCCCATTCTGAACACCACAGAAATACTGTACAAGCAGCATAGTTGATTATTTATTTATTTGTACCACAGATAATTCCATCTAAGACCAGTTGGACATTTAAAAAAAAAAGTATTTATACAGTTTTGTATATTAATAAACTGTAAATGAACATAAAATAAACATGAAATAAATGACAGTACGTTGGAAGAAGAATGCTATGGTAAGATTACTCTGCTAATGTTTACCATAGTCTGTTTTACCCCGCTGATGGCAAACAGCACATCATCATTTAAACACTACAGTTAAACCCAGTAGTGCTGTCTGAGGACTCCTGTTTCACTCGAAAACCTAATATGACAATAATAATCTTTTTATAGTGAAACGGCCGTGTTTAAACAAAGGCTCGAACAATATGTGTGTTCAAACAATAGACTTACATCTAATATTTGCCATTGTGTTAGACAAACACATTACAATTTTAAATGAATGCTGACATCACTCAGGCGAACATTTTTTGTATTTGCTTGACACGTAATGATTGCTGTTACAGATATTACAGTTGAAATTACATCAATACAGGGCACATCTATAGCATAAGCTATGAATGAGTGATGTCTCAATGAGTGCAGTCATTCTATGGAGATTAATTATCTGTCCATTGGTCATCCACAGCATAATATTATGTAAATAGTCTTTTCTTTTCTTTTTTCTTTTACATAAGGTGAAGTGGAAATAGTACAAGCAAAAATATGAGCTCATTAGTTTAAAAAATCAAACTCTGCTAGCTTTATCACCCAGAATTAGCAGCAGATTTTCCATGAGTAACAACAATCACTTAAGTTGAACCCCCATGAGTGCACTAATGGAAGATTGGGCATAGTCATCCATACTGTTGTTTTTCAGCTATGAGAATTCAGAAAGGGATGCTTCTGCCATCTTGTGGCAACTTTGCGGAACAACACAAGCCTCTGAATGAGAAGACCATTTGTGTGCCTGGCCTCATGACATCACTGCATTTTGTGCCTAACAAATCACCATTCATGCATGTATTCTGATTACTTTGTGCTGCTTTTCCACCGAGATTCTATGTAACATGCATGTCTAATTCTAGTTTGTGGCGGATTGAGGATTTAACATACAGCACAAGGCCTCACTTCCTCACAATGCACAGTTATTTAGACTTGGATAAATAGGATCAGAGACCAAAATTAGTATGTGTGGTTGGACACAACTGGACCATGCAGCTCAGTGGTTAAGCAGATTAGATAGGATTTACTGTCACGCTTGTCTCGTCAGCAGCAGCCTCAGTCGTAGCAACAGGTTGTCCTGCGCAGACCAGTGTGACCAAAAGCTGAATGGAGAAAGTTATCTATCCTTGGTAGGACTCCTCAAAAGCTTACAACACTAGGACTTAAGCCATACGTTGCAACGTTCTTCAATCAAGGTATTTATTCATTGTGTCTGGTTTAGTGATTTGACCTGAGACAGGTGTGATTGTTGTGCTGGAGTAAAACCTGTGTACATGCTTAAATTAAGGGAGATTAGAAACGCTGTACTTAGAAGGTGGAATTACTACAAAGGAATTTAGTTGTTGTTTTCATTCCATTGAAGTGTGTAATGTAATATGTAGTCACTTGTTGCCAATGATGAATATTTACCAAATCCCTTTTTTTTCTTAAAAATAAAGATTCCTGAATGATTCTTGGTTTAGTCATATGGTTTTATGGGAAACCCTTAGTTGGCCTACAACCTTTACATTATGTGGAGGTTCTTTAAGCTTTAAGGGTTAGTTTCCTAACTAGGGATTAAGCCTAGTCCTGGACTACACAGCAATCTGAATGGAGATTCTCCATTGAAATGAATATGCAGTTCAGGACAAGGCTTAATCCCTGTCCGAGTAGATTTCTCACACTCCCATATTTCATTTACAGAAAACGGTTCTTTTTGGTACCTTTACTTTTAAGAGTGTTGTCGATTGATCTCTGCTTTATCAAAGATTTTGCATCTAACTAGCAATCATGCGGCAATAAAAATGACCCAAAATGGTTGCATATGTCCTGTGGTCAGCGGTTGTTTGGACTCTGAAGGGCTTGCTTTACACTTGGAGGTATTTCTGGGTGAGTCAAGCCAGGTTTCTTTGTTTAATTATCAGTTCTAATACCTTAACTTCTGTCATCCTGTTTTTCTGTTGTTTTTCTGTTTACTTAATCATTGTTTATTCCTTTTGGCATAAATAAGTCTAGTGGTACGCTGTATCACAGACAATGTGGTTTGTGTTATAGGTTAACCCTTACTGTGCCATAAAATCTACACCTTGGATACCACATGAATCTGCAAGTGAGGCACATATTGCAGGTGATTGTAAGAGGTGCCCTTAGCGACAGTACATGATTAATTAACTGTTGCTTGTGTGTATAATACTCAGCAAATATCCACATAAAAAAGATAAGATGAATGTCAATAAGAGATGCACACTACTAGTCAAAAGTTTGGACAATCTTGGCTTTTTTTGCAGTTTTCTTAAGGATATTTTGATTTTAAAAATGATCGTCTCTATTCGTGAAATTATACCCAAAACAAAAAATGTCATTTTAGTTGGTATCACAATAATTTAATGATCCTAATTGCCATGAATTTTTCATTAAAAATAATTGGTGGAATGTCTGTTTTCGTTAATATATTTCAGTCAATCAGTTGTGTTGTGACCTGGGAGGGCGGAGTCTAAATAGCCCTATGTGATATAAGGCCAACATTTTTGAGTGGAGTGATTTCATGTAGACTTTTTCATAATTTTGATGCCTTCATTATTATAGAATGTGGTGGTAACACTTAATGATAACAGGACCCAATAAACATTAACTTAATCATAATCTAATAGTTTATTAATGATTGTTAGTAAGTACATACTAGTTACATGCACATTAATAAAAGGTACCGTTTAAATTTTGAACAATTACACCAGCAATCCATAATTATTTTGAATTGTAGAAATCAAATCATCAGTTATAGTTTCTTTATAATGTATTAGTAATTTGATAGTCATAACATATAAATTTTATGACTTTAGCAAATATGAAATATTGAATTATTATGATTAAGTGTATTTGAAAAAAATACTTGTAATGCCATTAAAAAGTGTTACAGTAAATGACTTGTTCTGACATCTTACAGTCACTTCATAATGTATAAATTATGTTGTGCTACTACCTGCCCAGCAGGTGTCAGGATGGCTACACTACAAATTTCTTCTCACTTGAAGTACCACACTGTACTTTCTAAAGCATCCTTCTAAAACACATTACTTGCAGAATCTGAGAAGCAGCACAAGCAGGTGAGGACTCATCAGCATGAGCGTAGCAGTGCCCTACACAAGAGGTTACTAAAGGCTGAGGGGGAGATTCAGGATCTGAAGGCTCAAATTGCCAGTCAAAGGGCGTCATGGGAGATGCGGTTCACAGAGCTGCAGAGAAGACAGCATGACCTGAGAGATCAGGTTAGTGGACATAACATTTGTTCAAAAGGGAATGAAATGCTGTGTGCTGTTGAGATATGAGCTTACCATGTAATTCTCACAGAGTATCTGTTCATCAGTGTTGAATGAGCCCTTAAACGGGTAACGTTTTATTTTAAGGCATACATATTGGGGGTTTACTAAGGTCTTGGTCTTTGTTCAGTAAAGCACAAATTAGACACTTCTAAATGAGTTATTCACTGTGCATTGGGCTTTATTTACTATGACCTGTATTTGTACATAATTAGTGGTCTGTTATGTGAAGTAATTGCGTTATTAGTTGTAATAATGTGCAATAAACACTTTGTTAAAATCTTGTTATGCAAAGTATTCAGCATGAATTACCATCTAAATTCACATTTTATTAGTATATTATGGCAGAATTTGATTCCTATATACAGCTAATAAGGCTTTAATAAGCCACTAATACATAAAAACATGTTCCATATTCTTTAGTAGAGTTTTAGTTGTCACTAATTGAGCTCTTGCTATTAAAAACATTATATGTGACATTTCTTAAAAAACACATGTATGGTATGGCATTGTTTGATGCCCTGTATTTAAAATTAAGGGGTCACTAAAACAGAACTAAAGCACAGTTTGGCTTTTTAATGAAAAAGTTTGTACAAAATAAAATAGAAAACAAAATAACTGATATTCCAAAAAAGGGTGGGAGGGTTATTTCATTAAAGAGGCTCAATTGGTTAAAAAGCACTAACCAAATTTTCAGTAAGTCAGTTTGTATCTTATATTCTAAACAGATAATGACAAAACCACACTTTAGAACATGGGACATATCTTGAAGTATATATGACTAATGGAACTCTTATCAACTTTTAAGTTAAAAACTAATCTAAAGAAAAACAATACACTAATAAAAAGATAAATAATTAAAAAACAAAAAACCTATAGGCATCAAATGCTCCCATAATACACAAATATAATGTGAATTTAGGTGATGCTTCATACTTCAAATAATTTGCATAATAAGATCTTAACAAAGTGCTTGTTGTGCATTATTACAACTAATAATGCAATAATTAATGATTTACACATAACAGACTTCTAATTATGTACAAATACTAGTCATAACACATAAAGCTTAATCCATAGTTAATCAACCATTCAGAAGAGTCTAATTTTGAGCCTGAATGAACAAAGAATAAGATATTAGTAAACCCCAAATATGTGTTCCTCAAAATAAAATGTTACTTTTAAATGTTCTTTTGGGCCTGGTTAGACATAAATAAACTCTATGGGCCAGTTTCTTAGATCTAGATTAAGCCTAAGGTTAGACTAAAAAGTATTTACACTGGTGTTTCACCACTGGCACTGCTGTTTAGTCTAAGGCTAGGTTTAATTCTTAATTACTGTCTGAGCGATTACACACTTACGGTAGACTAGTGCACACCTCACTTTGAAGATGAGACATTTGTCATGGAATTGTCCTTTTTTAGCTGCACTCTGAGATTGTGGTTAGGTCGAGTGCCTTGCACAAAGTCACTGATTCTGAAGAAATGAGTGAAATCTTCTCAGAGGCTGGCTTAGAGAATGGACAGCATTTCGAGGAGAAAGAACACGACTATTCCAGTAAGTCATTTCAACCTCCAAAATGATTTTCCATGATATGACATTCGTCGAGCAAGTTTCAACACCCACTCATGCCAGTAGGCTTTACGGGAAGCATTTGATTCCTGTTGCTTCCTGGTTTCTATTAGGTGGCTTGAACCAAATTCACCAGCTCAGAGGGCCGGATATGAGATTACTGCAAGATGGTGTTTACTCAAACAGTCTGACCTGCAGTCAGGCCACCTTTTCCACTGCTGTCGACTGCAGATCCACCTCTGCCATGTCTGTCAGCACTAGGTAGAACATACTTCTCTCTATATCTTAGTATAGGCCTCTAGACCACCACTACAAGCAAATCCACAAAACTATAAGCAAAGGCCAACTGATATAACTCACAGATTGCCTTTTTGTTGTTCACAAACATTTAATTTAATATTCTAAAATACATATTAGAGTGCATTACTCTTTTCCTTCTCTTATCCTGTTTTTTTTATTTTTTATTTTTTATTCTTCAGTGTCAGCTCATGGAAAAGCGGGACTGGCCCCCACCGTGTCTTTGTGCCCCATTCCCCAATGGACTTGCAGACCGGCCACAGGGTGCGAGTTCTGCTGCCCTCTGGTCGAATCAGCACTGGAACGCTACGCTACCTGGGTCATCTGCAGGGCTCACCAGACATTCACTTGGGTGTGGAGCTTGAGCTGGCTGAGAATGGACAGCAAACGGGCACCTATGAGGGCCAATGCTACTTTGACTGGTAATACTTCTTGCTGCACATGGAAAACTGTGACAAAAAGAGTCTGAGACAATTAGTGTGATTCATCTCCAGAAATATGATAAACTTATAATACAATAATGGAAACAATCCTTCGCCAGTGTTTATTTTTTCATCCCTCTCTCTCTCTCTCTCTCTCTCTCTCTCTGTAGCAAGCCTGGACATGGTGCGTTCGTGGCATTCAGCAAGCTGCTAATGGCCTGGGAGTAGACATACCAATTAAATCACAGAGATGTTAGAATGCAACCTATGGACATATATGCCAACTTGGGTAAACAGTTGTAGGTGCTCATTTAAAAAACATGTACAAAAATAAACAGTATTCTCATTCCATCTTATTAAATGGAACTTATATCTTTCTGGTCTTACAGTACTGGAGTTTGCTGCATTTTACCCTGTCTCTAAATGTGATTAGTAAGTAAAGGCCTTCTGAATAATTGTTGTTTGGTTAATAAAACATGTTTAACGTCTATAAAACATGACCTAGCCAATGTGATACAAGACTCATAAAGCTGTTATTGCTCAAATGCTTAGGTTTTTTATCCCTTTTTGTTTCTGGTCAAAGGAATGTAGTTATGTGTTGAACATTGCAGAAACACTCCATTAGAAACACTCATTAACATTATAGTGTGAATGCCTTTAGAAACTCTCTATTACTGAGTAAATGTGAAATACATTTTGTTTTGAAATTGTACTTACTTTAAAAAATGTAAGTCATCATTATTTGAAATGTTAGTATTTTATATTAGTTGCCGCAACACATTATTTTCTTTAGGTTATACAGAACGTACGATGCACAGATTTCTATGTATATAACCTATTAACTGTATATAAAAACAGCAGCGTTCCAACCAACGTAACTCATAGTTGACAAGATAATGAGAGTCCCAGAGCCCAATAAAAACACCTCCTGAGATGAGATTATTTACTTAATAATTACTTTATAATTCGTCGTTATTGAAGAGTCACATTTCAAGCTATGTGAACCTGTTTAGACTCATACTCCAAATTTAAAACCAACTGCCCAGGATTATTTTGTCATTATGCACTGTTAGTAATAAAGGTTCTGTGCAGGTACGTTTTTTGTTCATCAAGGTACAAACAATGGAAATGTACCCACAAAGGTACAACAGTGGTTTTAAGGTCCAGTTGTGTACCTTTTTTTTACCTTTGTGTAAGTTTTTCCCAGTGGAAAAGTACGTATTTGCACCTTTTCATAACCAAATTCATAATGTTTTAGAACAGAACAATAAAATAAAAAGCCTGGAGACGAGACGGCGTGTGTGGAGTGAATACTACTTAGAAAATATAATTTCAAAGGATTATGGTACAGTTATGTTCCCTGACTAAAGGTACTGAGCTGTACCCTTGAGGGTACCACCCCAGTGACAAGTGAGGTACTGCCCCAGTGACATTTTCGTACCTTTATTTCTGAGTGTGAGGACCAAGTGTCTTTGCTCTGAAAAATACAAATAGCACAGAAAAAAAAAAAAGCTTTTGCTTTGATTCTATGCTTTCCAGATCTAATGAAGCTTGGTCCTTAATGGAAGGTAATTTACACCGGAGGATCCTCATGGACATTTAGTTTGAGACTGGTGTGCACTAGCAGTACTGGTAAAACTACACCTTCTAATGGGAGCTACTGAACAGAAACATTTTTTCAGTTGTAGCTTTGCCTTTTACCAAGAATGAAGAGTATATTGTTACGTAAGAGACTAATTATGTATATTGTACAGAGTGATTTATGAAACAAATCCTTCCTCATCATAGTCTGATTCAGAGCCAAGAGAGTTAAATGATGAGGAGAAATCATACCAGTCATCACTACAAATGATATGAACCATACAATTTCCACAGTAATTAATCATCAGCACAACATTTTCGTTATAACAAAACTATAAAAGGTAGTTTGCCTGACAAATTATTTGTGGTAATGCTCTATTTGACTGGTTTGGGCACTATATAAGTGCTACTTTTTACTTTCTTGACATTTTTCTTGTATGCATTCAATCATACCATTCACCCTACTCTACCTGCCTTAGAGAAAAAGAAAAGGAAAAGGGTACGTTTCAGTGAAGAACAGTGAGCTAAACAAATTGTGAGTAGATAATTTACATAGAGCTGCTTTGCATTTTCCTGAGCATGCCTTTTTGCTGGGAGTGGACAGCTTAAATCTATGTAAACTTCCTTCTTGGAAAGCTGCAATTTTTCCCCAGTGAATTTCCCTGTAACTGCTCAGGTGTACTTCCTGTGTAATTTCCACAGAGGAGGAGAGAAAGAAACAAACAGGTACACATGCACAGTACATACTTTAATGCTTGACTGCAGGAGATTGGTTTCTGTTTCAGAAGCTTCAGGGACATGTTATGGTGCAAAGAATGTTTTTTGTTTTTAAGGAGGCTGAAATTTAGTTCTGTAGAAGTGGCTGTTCACTAGCACTGTGCTATTATCATGCTAATTGTCATGCAGTAGCAGTTTAACTTAGGCAGCAAGGTCACTTTGCTTATGTAATATACCACCATTTTTACATTTGGTGACATTAATGCAAGTTATATTCAAGAAAGCATGAAGAAAAAAGAAATATAAACACACTGATTCATTCACAAAAGGTCAGCTATTCATGTCATATTGCGATAACTGTTCTACTTCACTAAAACTACTAAAAAGCCTCTCAGAGGCAAAGTGTGAGAGCAAACATAGATTGAGATAGCACTGGCATTTTTTACTGTGTAGCACTGTTCATGAGTCAAGACACAGGCAAAGGACAGAATTTGCATACAGTATACTTGCTCTTAAATCGTGTAATTTGCATATTGTGTGCTTGTAAGGTCAACACAAAACTGTTGCAAGGTGTCAAGCTATTGCAAATATCTCACTAAGCCACATTGCACTACATCTATTCATAACATTTTCTGGAAGTTAAATATTAATTGCCACTTATTAAGGATGCACTGATACCGATACTGATTTCGGGTATCCGGCCGATACTGTGCTCATTTAGTCATACTCATACTCATAAACATTCACCGATACCAACATCCGATACCACATGATATCATCTGATGTAAATCTACACATGCATAAGGCAAAGTACAGAATTTGCATACAGTATACTTGGTCTAAAATTGTATAATTTGCATATTGTGTGCCTGTAAGGCCAACACAAAACTGTTGCAAGGGGTCAAGCTATTGCAAATATCTCACAAAGTCACATTCCACTGCTATTAACATTTTCTTGAAGTTAAATATTAATTGCTACTTATTAGGGAAGCATTAATGCCAATACTGGTTTCAGTTATCCGGCTGATATTGTGCTCTTTTAGTCATACTCATACTCATAAACATTCACTGATTCGAACATCCGATACCACCTGACACCAGAATGAATGAATGAATGAATCACGTGCGTCACGTGCATCATCAGCAAACAAACTAACCAGCAGAACGAGCGAAGATAATTAACTCTGAACATCTCTCAGCTGCTCATTAGAGCAAACCGAAGGCGAAAAGGGTGAGATGTGTTGCATTTCCACAGTTTACAGGCTTTAACTTATGTTCGGCGCTGCTGCCATGGTAACGCTGAATGATGGCGCACGCGCAGTGGAAACAAGCACATGAATTCCTATCTGAGCGTTCACATTAAGGTCGCATGGCCATGAATCGGATGCGTATTCGATCTAGCACCACATATGAAAGTGGCTCAGGTCGGATTTGAAAAGATCAGATTTACGTGTCCACACAGCCCAGAAAATATCAGATCTGAGTCACATTAAGGCAAAAAATCGTGTCTGTGCCACTTCAACCTGGTAATGTGACTGTAGCCAAAGTTTTAAGTCACTTTAAACATTCTGCCCTGCAAATTCCCACCAGGAATATACTGTGATTTTAACCCATTTTAAACACCCACTAGCCCAATCACAATCACTTCCCCAGTGCAGGTGGAGACACATATGCTTGCAAAACGGAGGAGAAAAAGTCAACATTTGCTACCAAAGTTTGTATATGCCTAATTTACTCTGTTTGACTGACTTTTAAACTGGTTTTGTTAAATAGACTGTAGAGAGACTTTATTGTCCTCCCCTGTATGTTTCAGCACGGTGCGGTTAGCCAAGCTGCTGTAGCTCAGTTTCTCAATATGTTTGTGCAGTGCACAACTGAGCAATACGTCAATTTTGGATGTAACAGATTTATTTGAAATTATTCATGGACAGAGCTGTATGTATTTCACACTACATGAACTGAGCATTTTTGTAGTGCGAGTATATAAATCATAGGCTTTGTCTGTACACAACAAACTATTCAAACTTACAGTGCTGAACCCTCAGTCATCTTCCTCCAGTCCTGCTTCTTTCACTGTATGTTTTGCATACAGATATGGTGATAGTATGAACAGATATGGTGATAGTATGCAGCCTTATCTAAATCCTTCGCCAATTTGAAACCGGTCTGTTTGTTATGTCAGTTTGCTTCAGAAGCCCCCTGAGTGGATGAATCTGATGATAGTGAGCTTGCTGAAAGAGTATTTAAAGAGAACCCACAGTGAAGGATGTATATCCTGAGTATGAAAGTGAATTACCTACTTTTGTCATATCTTCATCAGTATAATGTTGATTTTTCATTTGAGAATTAAAAATTGAGCTGGACCTTTTTTTTGAGCCTGTACATGCGACATTAATACCTAAGGATGTATAAGGTGGTCTAAAAAACTCCTGTGAAGTCCGACTTAACACTTTGAAATGAGTATTTTGAGCCTTACAGGGTGCCTCACATCACCTGTCTTTTAAAGTGAAGTTGTGTATGGTATATAGCTGTTCAGAGTTGTTTCTTCATATAAATGGTTCTGTCCATGCACAAGCAGTATATTTATCAGTATTTATGCATTAAGCTGTGCATATGCATGTTTGATAAATACCAATTTTCTAGTGCTTCCAATTTTCATGTACAAATCTAGAACAAATTCTATGAACGCTTTGACAAATGAGGCCCCTGTTCCTATCACCATCATTATAAAGAAATCAGTAAGTCTTTCTACAAGACACCATTTCACATAAAACTGATTTGAAAATATCTTTTTTACATTTCAACAATAAATTAAGCAGAAATTTTGAAAAATCTGTGGAAACTCCCTTTAACCAGCTGTAAACCAATGCTCTAATCTCAAATACATGATGTTTAAATTTATGCATGAAGCACCAGCATTAAACACTCTGCATTTCTCAGTCTTTTATTAATGTAGAGAGCAAACTGTAAAAGAAATCATCTCCATTGCATTTCTGTGACATTCAGCTGCAAAACTGAGAACTCTTCTCCATTGTTCACATTCATCCAAATCAGAATAGCTCACCACTGGCTGAAAAAACACACAACATAGATGATTT